AATCTTTGACCTTTCCTAGTGGGGAGACGGCGTATACCTGCGTATCACGTAGACTACACCACTGGTTGGAAGGACACCCTGGAGGGCAATATGGATAGTATATGGCCACTGTAGAGGGATTCCAGAGATATATATAGCGTAACGTTAACATTTTCAAAATCAAATATAAACAAAATGATGGCAATGTAACACTAATTTATTAACCTATTATTGTTGCATTCTGAGTAATGACAATGTACTGTATGTTGAAAAGATAGCATAGTAGTGATAAATTATCAGTATTAGGCCTACATTGTGAAAAGTAACTGTTCTTACACAACAGGCTGCATTTTTATCCGAAGAACTGATTTGTATTGATATCAGATATGAGCTATATAGTAAATTGTCTTATATTACAGTATTTTACAGTGAAAACAAACTCCCTCTTAATTACAATGAACTTAAATGAGAGAGAAAGCTTATTAGCATGGGACACATACTGAAGCTGTGAATCAGTGTGCCACTGGAAATGGGGACCACAATGGTGACAGTGAGTTTTTGTGGCATCGCCACTGGAGGGTGCTGTGGTCCATCAGGTCCCAGTTATGGCTTGGCTTCACACCAGTACTGGACTCCATCATCTTTATACTGTGGATGATGTTTAAAGTGAATATTTCATTCACTGGTTTCTTCTCTGTCTTGTTATTGAACTGTGGTTGACCCAGTTCTGTATGGAGCAAAATCCTGTACTGTACACCGTAGAGTGTAATAATAAATAAGAATTCATTACATTTATATAGCACTTTATCATAGAAACTCAAAGCACTTCAGAGTGAAGTGGGGGGGACTCATCTCAACCACCACCAATGTGTGGCATCCACCATTTTGCACCAGAACACTCACCACTAACCAGCTTGAGGTGGAGAGGGTGGGAAACATTAAGCCAATTTCTCTGGGGGATGATTAGATGGCCAGATGGAGAAAGCCAGGTTGGGAATTTTGCCAGGACACCGGGGAACCCCTTACTCTTTGTGACAAGTGCCATGGGATCTTTAATGACCACAGTGAGGCAGGACCTCTGTTTAACGTCTCATCAGAATGATAGCATCTCCTACAGCACAGTGTCCCCATCACTGCACTGGGGCATTGGGATCCTACTATTAGGACCAGAGGGCCCTCTAACACCTCTTCCAGCAGCAACTTACACATGTTTTCTGAACTCACCACGCAGTTCAACCTCCTCACCTTCTTTTCTCCCAGCAATGTCCAGTTTTGTCCATTTTTTAGATAAATATGGAGTAGTGCCAAACGACGTTAACAACACTGGAACCGGATGTGCACGGAATCTAGCTGTTGAGCAGCTCGAGCGAAGATAAATCAACGTTGTAATCCCAAAAACCAAAGTAAAAAGCTAATTTGATAAAAGCAGTTTACTCCGAGCAGTTGTTAGAGCATAATCCAGTCCGACTACGGGTGTTTATTTGTCCAAAAGCTGGAGCTCCCTGCTCCTCTCCCCCAAGTTTAGCAGCTCTCTGCCAGCCAGCAGATTTGAATCGCCCGCTCTGCCTGGCCCTCTTCACACAGCGCTGTGAAGCCATTGGTGACGTACGGACAATCTCAACATTGATAGGCTATCACAACTCAGTGTCATGCGAATTCCTTTGCGTTGCCCGACAGGAAATCACAGCTCTACGCGTCTTTGCATTGACTTTGTATGTAAACCCACTGCCCAGAACGCTTGCTTCGCGTTTGGTCTGAAAACACCATGTTATAATGTAGTTATGTATGTTACATCAAGTAACAATCAATCAAGTAACAATCAAGTTAAAGTTCGGAAGAGACTTAAAGTATGTTCTTGGTCATAGTTTGTACCAATTAAGCTGTAACACCAAACCATCTGGCATTAAAGGAGAACCACTGCCTCTGTCCTACCTGTCTGTGAGCAGTGATTTTAGCCATTTACTGAGAGTGATTCACTTTTTTGTTTTGATATTTGCCCTGGTACTCCAAAAGCACCTATAAACAAGAATGGAATCTTCTGTAGCCACTCTCCAATTTTGGGGGTCACAGCCCCCAGTGCTCCGATTACCACTGGCACCACTGTTGCTCTTACTTTCCACATGTTTTCTAGCTCCTCTTTCAGCCCTTGGTATTTCTCAAGCTTCTCGTGTTCCTTCTTCTTGATGTTGCTGTCGCTTGGGATTGCCACATCTATCACTGCAGCCTTCTTCTGCTGTTTGTCGATCAACACGGTGTCTGGTTGGTTAGCCATCACCAGTTTTTCAGTCTGGATCTTGAAGTCCCACAGGATCTTAGCTCAGTCATTCTCAACTACCTTAGGAGGTGTCTTTCATTTTGGGACATCCAGCCCATACTCCTATCAGATGTTCCTGTACACTATGGCAGCTACCTGGTTATTCCTGCCTGCATCTTACACCCCACTGTTATGTGCTGTACTGTCTTAGGGGCATCCTTGCACAGTCTGCACCTGGGGTCCTGCCTGGTGTGGTAGACCCCAGCCTCTATTGATCTTGTACTGAGTGCCTGTTCTTGTGCCGCTATGATTAGTGCTTCTGTGCTGTCCTTCAGTCCAGCCTTTTCCAGCCACTGGTAGGATTTCTTGATATCAGCCACTTCTTCTATTTGTCTGTGGTACATGCAGTGCAGCGGCTTGTCCCTCAATGAAGCTTCTTCATCTTCCTTGTCCTCACCTTCGGGTTTCTGCTGCCTGAGGTAGTCTCTAAGCCCTTCATCTTTGGGGGCCATCTTCCTGATGTACTCCTGGATCTTCGTTGTTTCATCCAGGACAGTGGTCTTGACACTCACTAGCTGTCGGCCTCCCTCGCTACGCTTGGTGTACAGTCTCAGGGTGCTGGATTTGGGGTGAAACCCTCCATGCATTGTGAGGAGCTTTCTTGTCTTGATGTCAGTGGTCTCTTTCTCCTCCTTTGGCCAGTTTATTATACCAGCGGGGTATCTGATGACTGGCAAGGGCGTATGTGTTGATGGCTCAGATCTTGTTCTTCCCATTCAGCTGACTTTTCAGGACCTGCCTTACTCTCTGTGTTACTCTGGCTGTGGCGGACTTCCTTGCTGCCTCCTCATGGTTTCCATTAGCCTGGCACCCCAAGGTATTTCTAGCTTTCCTGGACATCTGCATTGTGGCCTTCTGGTACTCATGACTAAATATATCTATATCTATGAGAGAGAGTGAGAGTGAGAGAGACTTAGTGTAATACTACCAGGGTACATTATTAGCTTTATTCTTGAATATAATTAATATAAGTGCATAGGTGACCCCCCTACACCATTATAAACCAACTCATTAATGTCCACTTGCATGAGCTGTCCAGCCCGTGTAGGATCATACATACACTCTATTGTGATTATCTCTCTTAATGTATCCATGGCTGTGGCCCTGATTAGTTTAAAGATTATTCAGCCACTTTTTAAAAGAAAAACAACCCTTGACCCATTGCTTCCCAGTAATTATAGACCTCTAGCCAAACTTCCTTTTATTTATTTTTATAAGGTTTTGGAATAAAAATATTATGTGAACAATGTGTACAGGTCATGGACATCCATGAAGTCTTGATCAATTCCAGTCTGGTTTTTGTTTGAGGCACATTAAACTGAAACTGCTTTTCTTGGGTCTCAAATTATATTTTTTTAAATTGCTGTGGAATGTTAAGTTCTGTTATTGCTTCACCCAAGTGCAACTTTCAACACAGCCAACCATAGGTATTCAGCATTTGGAGGCTATAAAAGTGGAGTGTGTGCATACACTGCTCGGCTGAGGTGCTGTGTACCCCAGGGTTCAGTCTTCTGCCCTATTCTTTTCTCCCTGCACATGGTTTCTAAATTAGTTGCTTTAAGTGTATTTTCTATCACTGTCATACTGACGATACACAGCTATACTTTTCTTTCAAATTTAAATACTTTTATAATATAATAGCTTTTTTGTCTAGCCAGACAGTCTAACTTAGCTATAGAATTACCTGTAAAGTTAGTTACTCCTTTTTCTTTTCCCATGATATTGTTCTGTTGTTCTTTCACTTTTTATCTCCAAGAAAGCCCCTGTGATATGAAGTTCTGCCTTCCTCTGCCTACAATGGGGGAAAAAACATAGTAGTGGAAAAATACACACTATAGCACTGATGAAGAAAAAATGAGATTTCTACAGTGGTAGTGCCTAATAGTTTTGGTTGGGCGATCAGGAAACAGAGTGATATAGATCCCCGGGAAGTTAAGGAACAATTGCTTGCCACACTACACTCCACATGAATGAACAAAACGTCCCCTCCATGGTTGATATAAAGTTTCAGCCAAGCTGAAGCAGAGGTTGCTTCACCTATTGAAAACATTACTAGTAGGTTTATATTAACTGCATCAGGGTATTATAATAATTGCACTTAAGTTAGATACGAGGTACAAGTTTGTTTATTTGTCATTATACAACACAAGGCTGCACAGCGAAACAAAAGCTTTGTAGTCCCTTCATGCTACATACACAGATATGTGATAAAATATGGTAACACTTAAATAAAAGAAAACAAATAAAACAATAGATAAACACCTTTGTCAAAACAAATATCCCTATTTAGTTACCTCAACCATCATTACCAATCAACCCCCCTACATTAATATAATGGGGGTTACCTAAATACAGATACATTATCTTTATATTAACACACTTTACATTTTTGTTTCCTATTTTCACTGCCCACCCCAATATAATGGCTATAATGGAGGTGAATGGAGTTTTGCTTGTGACACTCGAAACATTAAAAAATGTATATAAAAAAACAATGTTACACTGGAGGACTGAAAGATATTTAGCTATTCATTTGACCATAAATATTGAATAGAAGCATCAGTTATTAATTTGAATGAAGATGTGTTCTACTTTTATCATCGGCTGTGTAGGGAGGAGGGCTGTACAAACAGGGCCATCTCTGGAGACTGGCCAGGTCTAATCTGAAAGGGGCTTCCCGACCACAACGATACACTTTCACATTTCATTTCATTACCAACTGACTCACTTTGTGAGGTGTGAAAACAGGCTGCACAGCCAAAATTGCTCTACGACAATAGAAACGGAGTAAACTGTCCTTTTGACCAACTTTGGGTTTCATGTTTAAAATTTTTTAAATATTTCTTACCAAAAAACAACTGGGAATAATGTTTTTCCATTTAATTATTTTGTTAGTATCCTTGATGAGTTTTCTGCGGGATCTCAATGTATTCAGTTGTGGTAAGTAAAGAGTTTTTAATCTGTAGGCTGCTTTAAAAAGAGCTTTATTGTCATGAGATTATCAATTAGATTATGATTCCTTATAGTGGTCTGTCAGAGATTGTTCTGTCGTCCAGCTGTTGAAAGATGTACTTTCATATGAAGGAATTTTCTAGTATTTGACACTTTTTTAGTGATTCCTTTGGGCATTTGTTCTTCTGTATTTCATTTAAGCACTTGGTAATTTTGTTCTTGGAAAGTGCAGGACAAATAAAGCTATAATATTATAATATGACTGTTATTATTATTTTTTGCAATTAAGATTGTTTTTATTTATTAATTTATAAGAAACAAGCAAATATCTCAGATAAATAAAATTAACATTCAACATATGTAACTACACTGTGTACACAATTGTGTATGTACTGTATATACAGAATAATTAGGCCAAATAACATGTACATACGGTACATTAAAGAAGCACAGGCTGCCTATTGTTGTCAATGTGTTTGATTGTAGTTATACTCTCAATTTACCTGGCAACATACAATTTCAACAATTAATGAGATTGGCCAAAGATTGATAAAAGAAAATACATAAAATTTAACAAAAATCAAAGCTCCAGCAGCTCCAATGGTCATTGTGTGTGGAATAGCAATGGTTTTAAAATTGTATCTGCCGTTGAATATAAATGTTGTCAAGTTTAATGTCTGTGTTACAGATAACAACTGTGAAGAAAAACCTGTGTTCACTCCATCCAGACTGGTAGTGAAGTATGACGACCCAACCTCTGCCAACTGCTCTGTATGTCGGCATACTTGCCTCAACAGCTTATTTGGTTTGGAAAAATCTGTGGGAGAGATAACAACAAACGGAACCACGATTTCATGGACAGTTGACAGAATGACTGAATGGGACACATCTCCCATCTGCTATTATAATTATGATGGGCACCAGTGTTGTAGCTTCCTGAATGTAACTCTCTATCGTAAGTGAACTAACTGTTGAACAAAAATACTGTTGCTAATTTAATCATGTATAATCTCAAATTAAGTGGTTGTACACAAACTTTATCTTGAATCTGTCTCTCTACATCTCTCTGTCTCCACAGAGCTTCCACATAATGTGTCCATCAGCTTTGTTAATCACTCTGGGCCGATGTTGGAGGGTCATCAGTACACTCTGCAGTGTACAGTACTGGATGTTGCTCCTGTTAAAGACCTCACTGTGACCTTCTACAGAGGACACACAGCACTGGGTCAACGGCAGTCTAACAACAACAAAGAGAAGAAACCAGTGACCAAGAGCTTCACTTTTAACATCACACCCAGTATAGAAGATGATGGAGTCCAGTACTGGTGTGAAGCCAAGCTAGAACTGGGACCTGAAGGACCACGGCACCCTCCAGTGGTGATGTCGCAAAACGTCACCGTCACTGTCTACTGTGAGTCTGACAACAATATCAACACAAGTTGGCCCCCTGGGTTATCATGTTGGCCTGTTTTGCAGTGATGGAAAAAGTATTTTGATCTGTTACTTAAATCTGCTGTAATCAATATTTTTACATTAATAATGGATTTCATGAGTACTGGTATGTTGAAAGGGTTCAGTTCCTCTCTTCTTAACAGACATTTGTAGTATCTTTCACCTCATTGTTTCGGTTTTCCGGCCCCCTACTGTTTTTGTTGAGTCCTTCCAGCTGGGTGTTTTTTGCTGCAGCAGATAACTGTATTCATAAAAAAGGCTCTATGAACCCACTGTACTCTACCTGTCCAGCACTACACAGCAGACAGACAAAGTTAGTGACCAGCTGGTGAACACAGTGGAGAAATTAGCAGCTAAAGACCCAAATATTTATATAGCTATAGATATTTTTAAAATCTAATATGGCGCTGTGTATAGCTGCCTCAGTGCGCTTTGTTTTGTTTTTGTTTGTAAACTCACTTTTCGGCTGATTCCCTTTTCACCAGGGAAGAGTTCATGAACATCAGGGGAACAACACGGGCAAATTTATTTCCCCCTTTTCTCCTGTCATCAGTGGAATTATTGGACATTTTGATTAAGGGCATGAACGTCAATAAACCGTCCAAATGTTCATGCTGTCTCTCTGATTTGTGCCACGGTTGGTTTTCGTTGAGCTGTTTGTACTTACATGGGAAACAGGCTGAGCTGGAATGCCAAGTGGAGCAGCAGGGCTAGCTCAGATAGTGGCATCCGCAGTTACCAGTGGCATTTCCGGTGGCAGCTTGAGATCCCGCAGCACCTGCCACTATTTGTTATGGTATTTCCGGTGGCAGCTTGAGATGCCACAGATTTTTCCTGAGATGCCATGGCACCTTTCGCTGTTTATGTAGTATTTCTGGTGACCCGGCATCTGCCGCTGATTGTGTACATTAGGTTGCCACTGATTTACCGTGAGGTGGCAGCATTTAAATTTAAATGTCCGGGTTGCGTCTTTATTAACTGTTTTAAATCCAGGTTACGATATAAATGTATTTATTGTTCTTCATTTCATTTATTTTTTAAGACTTTATTTGTAACCTAGCTACCATCTTCATTCCCCACCAGCCCAGCGTTCAACCTGCATGCCCTTCTGTTCTAACCTGGTTCTAACACGCTGTCAGCTTCTTAGCAGCTCAGGCAACAAAATCACATCAGAAATGTCATAATACAGATAATCTGGCCATTTACCAGGGGCGTTTCCAGGCTCTTGAAACATTGGGGGCTTAGCCCAGCCCAGAAATCTTTCATGTTTTCACCTGTTTTCACCCCCCCTGTTGCCATCTACCCAAAGTATGTCTGTAAAGCAACAGTAAATGACCTCTACACAGTAACTCTAACATCTGTCTCATTTTCTGATAATAATTAACACTGATAATATTTACTAGTGGGGGTCTGGGCGTCCTCCCCCTGAAAAGTCTGGGCTGCAAACACTTCATTTCCTACATTCTGGTGATTTTTGTTTTGCACCAATTTATTGAGGAAATGTCTGAGGTGACAATTCAAAATAAAATAATTTAGTATAAAGCAGTAAGGCTGTCAGGCATTCTGTATTGATATCAGATATGTTTCTCCTGTAAATCAACTTTTCTCATTTAATTTAATCCTGAGTCTACATACATGCAGGCATGCCTGAAGTAGCCTAAAGTCGTTGTGCATGTGTCACCTTTTCACCTTAATGATAAATTAGCTTGATTAATTTGAATTTAGTTTAAAAAAATATATTGATGAAAATGTTCCCCCAGAAAGTTTTGAGCATTAAACACTTCCTGCATTCTGGAGACATTTTCTGCACCAATTTATGGTGGAAATGTCATTACTGTTATAAAGGGAAGGACAAAAGTTAGCTGGCAGGTGACAATTCAGAATATAAAATATAATAGAATGTAATGCAGTAATCAGTAGCTTATTCTTTGTTTTTGTTTTTTACCTTAAGTTACTTTTTAAAAATATATTTATAATCAATATATTTATATTGCATTGCAGGTTTAATTATTGTGCAAATAAAGCTTTCTCATAGCATTTTATTTGTTAATTAACATTTCTTGGTGCAAGCTATTTTTCAGTGGCCACGGCCCTCCTTTACGTCTTCAAGTGCTTGCCCTAGGCAGGATTGGCAATGCAGCTGATGTTGAAGCTACTGCAGCTCCAGTACCAAATAGCCCTAAAGGTTCGTCGGCCAGTTGCAGGCAGGTGCGCACATAGACATCAAAGGGGGCTTCAGCACCTGCCCTTTTTCTTCTTCAAGAGAAAGTGCCCTTTTTTCTGGGATGCTTTTTTTTAATAAACATCGATATGCAAATTAGGCGTTAACTAATTAGACAGCCCTCCCTCAAATGTTAAACTAAGTCCATATCAACATCAGTAATTGTGTGTGTGTGTGTGTGTGTGTGTGTGCGCATGTGCATGGTAAATGTAATATGATAGCAACAGTAATAAAGTATTTGATCACTACATTAATTCAGACAACTGGTATTCTGTTGCTTGGCTGTGTGACGCTGAAGGTTATCTTTACTCATTTGGCATCTTGCTTGTGAAACAAAAAGCAAAAGTATTTAAATTGCATTTATTTTAATTATTCCTGCAGCCCAATGCCACAGTTTAGTGTGAAGATTTATGTGAAGTGTTATGTATTCCAGTAACACCAAAAGAATTGAAACGATTTATTGTGTGAAAAATAAACCATTTATTAATGAAACTATGTCATTTATTCTAAATATATACTTGAAACTAGTAGAATAGAAAACATGCACATTGTGGCATAGTTTGCTTTGCTGTCGCCTGCTCCGGTGACATGGACTTTCACAATTGAGGGAGGGCTGTCGGTATCATGTAAAGATCTATCAGCATACAACAAACTAACAGAATGGATACTTATTAGATGAGAAGCTCTTAATGGCACTTTTTCATGGAGTGGTCAATTTAGAGACTATTTTCTTTTACTCTAATGGAAATAAAACTTCAAGAATACACCTTTAGATGGTGTTGGTTTTAAGTCTACTAACCTCTGTCTGTTTGCATCTGTAGATTTATTCTACATTAACCAAAACAAGCTAATCTGCATATTTGCAAAGCACATTTCAGAGGAAAATAGCCAACTCTTGATGTAAGTCAATAACTGGGGAAGTTCTGTGGTGACATGCTTTAGTTATTTTCTTTATCCCATTCACCTGCAGTGACTTGTCAAATGTGTGCAAATTGGAGTATTTTAAGTAGTTAACGCTTAATTTGCATATCAATGTGTCTCCTTCCGTACATTAGGTTGTAAGGCCATGATAAATTGCCTTAGCCAAACTTCAGATAACTTTTTACATTAGCTCAGCTCATGAGTCATGCCTTAGCAAGACACAGGCCTATATTGTCTTTTGTTTAATTAGCGGTAAACTCGAGGCACTGGTAGTTAAGTATTTTGTTCATCACCACTCACCTCCACACAAGCCAAGAAAAACACTGCTGGGAGAGAAGCTGGAGGGGCTGCTGCCTGTCTGTGAGCTGCGCTCTGGTTGTGCGTTGAGATGCAGAGAGAGAGAGAGGGAGAGAGAGAGAGAGAGGGAGACAGAGAGAGAGAGAGAGAGACGAGAGTACTCGGCCAATACCCCCTCCTAATAAAAATACAGAAAAGATCACCCCCAGACAGACTATCACAAAGCCCTAACATACCAGGAGCTGAAACCAGAGAAGAGTCCCCTCAGCCAGCTGGTCCTGAGGCTCTCTGCAGTAACAAGTCCCCAACAGCCTCAGGACAGCAACACCAACTCAAGCAGACCAAACCAAATTATCAGCAAGCAGAAAGAAAAATATATTGAATACTGAAAAGAAATGACCAAAATACAAAGTAAATTTCAATGTTATCTGACCCTAAAAAGAGAATTCACACTGGCAAATTACCTGAGTACAATAAAATGAATTAAGAAATGAATTAAGAAAAATGTTGACAACATACAGACTGAGTGAACACAGCCTGGCCATAGAAAAGGGTCGCCACAGACAGAGCTGGCTACCACAAGAGGAGAGACTCTACTCTCAGTGTGACAGAGGACAGGTAGAGACAGAGCTGCACTTTCTAACCTCATGCCCCAAATATAAAACACAAAGACAAAAACACTTTGCAAACATTTCCCATATATACCCCAAATTCGAATTCATATCAGACACACAGAAACTCCCCTTTACTGGGAGAAATGCCCAAATATGTCTCCTCATGCCATGAAGTGAGGACAACCAGTGGAACCTCAGACTAACAAATAATTGTAAAGATTTTCAAATTATTATTATTTTTATCATTTGATATTTTAGTAATTGTTTTGTTTTTACATTTGATACTGATTTCTTTTTTCTTTTTATTATTTTTTTAATGAATTAATTCTTTTTTTTGTCTATTAATATATACACACACACGTTACTGTTTCATTTATTTATTTATTTTATATATATTTATTAACATGCACACACACACTTATTTTTAAGTGTTTTACTGTATGATTAGTAGCCAACAATTTTATTTTAAAGTGTATAACCTAGTGGGCTAGGCTAGTCTTCCACTGTGTGGGCGCTCTGCCACCGCGCAGTCTCAATTGTGTGTCGTTATCCCGGGTCATCGATACCGCTGGTTCGTTAGTGACGAACTAACGAACGACCCCACTGAGGTTAAATAGCTGAGTTTCCCTGCCAGTCAGTCAGAACTTAAGAAGTCATTTGGATAAGGGACGAAACGTCTTCCAGTAGCTTCAACCAAGTCCAGTTGCCCTTCATTTTAACCTTTGTTGGATCTGCTGCAGGACAAGCTCGCCCAGCTGAGCGTGCTTGACTCCACCTGCAGGTGCATCACAGACCTCCTGACGGACAAGAAGCAGCACGTGAGCTGGGAAAACATGTCTCTGACTCCAGGACTATCAGCACTGGTTTCCCTCAAGGCTGCATTCTTTCCCCTTTGCTCTTCTCACTGAAGACCAACAGCTGCACCTCCTTCACCGGTCTGTCAAGTTCCTGAAGTTTGTGGACACTGTGAATTCATCTGCTTCTGGGGTACCTTCATCCCCCAGGACCCTAATTGCTAGCTGAACATCATCATCTCCCTCATCAAGAAAAGCCAAACACAGGATGTACTTTCTGTGGCAGATGGAGAAGTTCAGCCAATGTTGGTGCACTTTTACACCGCCATCATAGGAATCTATGATGCTGCCACTACCAGGGAAAAGTGCAGACTGCAGCATATCATTTGCTCCACAGAGAAAGTGAACGGGTGCAATCTTCCATTACTCCAGGACCTGTACAACTCCAGGACTCTGAGATGGGCAGGAAAGATTGTGGCCAGCCCCTCCCACTCTGGACACAAAGTATTTCAGACACTCCCCTCCAGCAGGAGGCTGCGGTTCATCAGGAACAAAACCTTGCACCACATAAACAGTTTCTTCCCATCTGCAGCTGACCTTATTAACAAGGCCCCGGCCCCCCTCCATCTCAGACTCTTCTGCCCGTCCATCCCTGTTAATGTGATGCACAACATATCTGATCTGATTCTGATTATTCTTTTACACTTGTAAATACTTGTATGTATTCTATATATTTAACATAAACATATATGTAAATATATAATGTTTATTGTTGTTGCTCACCTAGTCACCAAAACAAATTCCTTGTATGTGTAAAAACAACTAAATCCAATTCTGCTAAATATAGTTTGTGGAGACCACAAAAGGAGAATGATTATTGGATATGAAGAAATGACTGTCTCTTCATGTCAGCTGGTTACATAAAATAAACCGCTTTGGTTCACGCTGAACATCTCAACATCTATTGGGTGGATTGGCATGAAATTTTGTAGACATGAGTGGTCCACAAAAGAAGAAGTCTAGACTTTGTGATGTGACTTTTCTTTTAGCTCCACCATGGCGTTCATAGATATGGTTCTGAGTGGAGTGAGTGAGTCTCGACAACAGTATTGTATGCATTGTCATGTCATAAAATTTAGCATTCATGACGCCCTCAGGATGAATGGTGTCTGATATAGGCATAGACATGAATAGACATTCCCATCGGCCTCTGATGTATTTGTGTTCAGTGCTAATATACAAGGTTTACAAAGTAGTTTATTTCTCATTACAACACAAGTTGTTTAAAAAGAATGTTTGTAGAGAGATCTTAACAGATAATTACTTAAAATATTGCAACATATAAAATAAATGGTGTGCACTCTTTTGCTCCTTTTACCTTAATGACAGGTGTTGTATTTCTCTTAATCATCACACAGATAAGCCTCATCTAAAGGGGTCATGGCATCCAGATCCAGTTATTACCCTGGAAGGAAACCCTCTACAACTGAACTGCTCGGCTGTAGGAAACCCCAGCCCTTTATACACTTGGACGTTTCCGTTAGCTAGCACTCCCGTTTCTGGCAGGACCCTTCTCACTATCAACTCTGTAACTACTGCAGATGAAGGGCAGTACACCTGTTCTGTCAGCAACGATGTAGGAAGTCTTAAGGTGAAGTTTGAGGTGGTTGTCCAAGGTGAGTTAAAACTTAAACTGTTCTCTGTTCCTTATTTCTTTACCTAAACATCTGACTCAACTCATTTTTTTAAACACCCTAAAAGCAGGACTTGTCATGGATGCAATCATCTGCAAACTTGGAGATCTATTAATTCATACAGTACATTAGAAAAGTTTTGGTAATAGTTGAATTTGCTAAATACTAAAGTCATGTGAACATCCAATGTGTTTGTTAGCATTAGGAAGCACCTGTGAGCCCAAAAGCTCACAAAAGGCAGTAAAAAAACACCAATTAAGGATGCTGTTTTTTAGATAATTTAATAGAGTGTAAAAAGAAATAAGGGTTAGGGGTTAGGGTTAGATTTACACCTTACGTTTGACCTCCAATTATTTAGTAAAATATGTACATCTTTGACTCATCTGATAACCTTTTACTGCCTTTTATTAGTTTTGGAGCTCCATATTATGTCACAAAGAACATTAAATATGATAAGATTCAGAGATGCTTCAGAGATGTTGTTTGGCTGCATCACAAGGCAACTGTCTATTTGTCCATAGGTTTGGAGTATGGAACAACCACAACCACAAAAACAACAACCACATCGAACAGTAGTACCAGCAGCACTCTTCACAGGTTCATTATATGTTTTATGCTGTTATTCTCTGCTCTGGTTTGAGTTAATTCCCAGAGAAGGAAGATGAGGTTGGTTTATGGAATAATAACATGTAATAGCCTCCTTCTAATAGCATTAAGAAGCAAGCCTGTTGTCTGATTACAATGTACTACTGATATTTATTTATATTCCGGTAAACATGGCTTCAGTTCAGCTGTATATCCCCTTACCAGCTTAGCAACATGGACTGGAGCAAGAGTTTCAGAGTGGTGAGTTATTCATTTGTAACAAATGTATTTTTCATCCATAAATTTTTAACTGAGTTTTGTCTCTACATCACAGTAACAACCTTATGTCCATTGACTGCCTGGAGGGTAGCTAGTGTTTGGACGGGAGAGGAGAGGCAGCAGGCTGACGTCGTGTCAGTGTGTGCTGCAGCTCAGTGTGTTTTTCCTCTGGTGTTTTTGAGGGCGTGTCGGACTGGCCACTAGGCGAGCATTAGGACGCGCATTTTGCTGTAACGTCACAGAGAAGGAAGGGAAATGGCTGGACTACAATTTAACTGTTTTCTGTGGGAGATGGGACCTCCCTTTGGGGTGGGCTTTGGGCTTTTTCACTTTGCAAACCTATTACATACACAAAAAGATATATAACTCAATAAAGGAGAGGGGGAAAGCCAAAAATCTATACCATTATTTTCATTCAGTACGTACCAACATTACCTTTACCGTCTGTACTTCGATATGGATATTGTGTAGGCTTTTGCACAAATGAAGATTTAGATATCAATATCATCGCCCAGATGGCAGCAGTTCAAATTAAGGGGCAAGGGGGGCCTCTTGTCTCCCACAATGGCTTTTGCCTTGTTCATCATTCTTTCCCTATAGATACATTCCATACTTGGTAACTTGATCCCTAATAGTTTACTGGCCGTTGTTACTGTCACACTGTGGGCGTGTCGGTTCTGTTTTGGTCAGTTGGTTGTTTTCAGTCAGTCATGTTCTTTATAGTCTGTTTAGTATCTGTCTTATCAGTTATATAGTCTGTTGTGTCCTGAGTTTCTCTGAGTTTATTATTTTGTCAGTTTTGTATCTGTTATGTCTGTGTTTTGGTTCCATGTGTTAGTTCCCAGTCCGGTGTTAATGTCTTTGTATTTACTCCTGGTCCGTGTACTTCAGTGTTTGTTATTTTTTTTACAGTATCTGTCTTAGTGTCTTAGAGTTGTTGAGTTTTGGGTTTGGTTCTGTTTTTTGTCCTTTGTCCAGTTATTTTGTCTGTTGTGTTTGGGTATTTCCCTTACTTGCTGTTCTGTTCCATGTTTATGGTTGTCCTATTCCCCGTCGGTTCCGTCTCTGTTCCCTACTCCTGTCTGTTATCATGTTTCCTGTTTTGAGGTTCGGTTCCTGGTCTTGTATTCTCGGTTAGCCCTGCATCTTAGCTCCTTGTTCTGTCTCAGTTCATGTCTTAGTGTTTACTTTTGGTCTTTGTACCTCTGTGTAATGTTGCCCTTGTCTGCTATGTGTTCCCTTTAATCTCAGCTTCAGTCTGTTTTTCTTTGTTGGTGTTAGTTTTGTTGTGATCTGTCTACTTGTGTCTGTTACCCCAGTAATCCCTCTGCATGTCAGTCTCTCTGTTTTCCCCTGCCTGCACTGTGCATTGTTCATGTTCTTTGGATTTTGGTTTCTTGTTTGGATTCCTTGTTTTTGGACTTGTTTATCAGCCACTCCGCTTGTAAGTGTGCTCGCCTTTGTTTATTAAACTTTTGAACTATACCTGCTCCGCTCAGCGTGTCCTGCATTTGGGTCCTACAACCTGCTTCACCACACACGAATTGTGACAGTTACTGTTTTTCTGTGCTTCAGTAGCATTGCCAAACCAGCAAATGATGCAAAAGGCCAAAACACTTTCAATAAAAGAACAAGAAAACATCAGAAGCATTTTGTTGTGGACATTAAAAGACAACAGTTTCTTTAAAAAGTGCATTCTTTGTTTTGTCTTTGTGCTTATGAAGTCAGACCACAGATCCCATTTGAGCTCATGGTCGAGCACAAAGCCTAGGTATTTGTAATTTGTAACAGATTGTATAGGCTTTCTGCTGATAAGAGTAGAATTTGATGATTGATGGACATTTCTTTTGTTTTGGTGGTGTTTAGAAGGAGGCTTGACTTCTCACACCACTTTAGGAAGTAGGCAAGGTAACCTCCTCCTCATCATGTAGTAGGCTCATCAAGGCAGTATCATCTGCATACTTAATAAGGTACCTGTTAAGGAAAGTGCTGGTGCAAGAGTTGGTATATAAAATGAACAATAAAGGAGATAAAACACATCCCTGGGGAGTACCTGTGCAAGTGGTCATTTTGACAGAGAGAGAAGAGAGAACTCTGACTTGCTGGATTCTACAGCTAAGAAAATCAACAATCCATAAAATCAAGCTAGGCTCAAGTGAAAATTCTAAGACCAATCTGTCTGTTAAGCGACAGATGGCTGCCCACCCTGAGCCATGCTTGAGGTTTCTGCCTTTTAAAAGAAAGTTTTTACATGCCTCTGTCCCCTAGTGCTTGCTCTTGGTGGGAATTGTTGGGTTTCTGTAAACAATTTCTCAGAGTACGGTCTAGACCTGAAAAGTGCTATGAGATAAATGTTGTTGTGATTTAGCACAACAGATTTATGTAAATAAAACTGAATTGAATTGAATTCTCATTTCCCTACTTTGTGCCTCCCTGAACACTTTATGGCTAAATGAAATGTCACAACGAGCTCACAAGATAAAGCATCATAAAGTTTAATAATAAATAAAGATAAAAATGAAAAGAAAATGGTTAAAGAGCTTTGGTTAATTTTAAGACATCAATTAAATTAAGTAGTTTTTTTGTTTTCTTCTCCATAAACAACATGGATTTGTAGAACAATGTAAAGTCTTTTGAGAAGACAGTAAATAAAGGCTGTGTTTTGGTAAAAAATTTACCCACGATGCTTAAAGTAATTGATAGCAGTTTGTAGTTTTGTCCTTCATTATTATTCCAAATGTGATGGTATCTGAAGTGAAAGTGAGACTTGACTGTGAGATAAGACTCCAGCCAATCATACATTTCATATCAGAATGTGTTACTGTAAGGGCAGAAGAAAAACAAGTCATCTGTCCTCATCACAAAATAGATACCGTAGTTACTGTATTTTGATCAGAGCTGAATCTTCTTGTGAGGAGTTCGCTTTAATGATATTTCATTAAAGACTTTGAAATTAAACTCTTGCTTTTGGTTGTAAATCTGTATGTAGTTTCTTCAACGTAGAATTACTGTATTGGATATAAAGTAAGAGTAAAGACACCACAGAACACTTAATGTTATATAAAGTCGTACTGAAGAACTGGTGACCAGAAATCATCAATGAAGGAAGGTGACGGGGGTTGAACATGTGAGGTGGAGCATTTTTCCCATCAAAAATAAAGCAGATGGGATGTTTTGCTTTGTACCAAAGATGTCTCGTAAATAGGTGATAGTAATGATAGTAAATGTTGTTTTCCATCCATTCATTCATTCAAATATAAGGAGGTGTTTCTAACAGGAATTAATCTGCAATTCCAGATGGATACATCATGGGGTGTAATATTGTATTAATACAGTAATATAACAGTACTTGTGAATGCAATGCCGACAGTTTTATGGATAGTTTTGGAATATCAAAGTCACAGTATAAAAAGAATCAAGTAAACAATTCCCTGGGAACACAACACCAACAGATGTTACTATTTACTAGAAAGGATCTTAACCATTTAGCCTTTAAGGTTCTATTTATTGGCTATAGTCAAAGTTAATATCTTGTAGAACACCATCTTTGTAGGTTTTCACTACAGTAATTTTTTTCAGATAATGTGGTTGTCTTTTCCAAATTTAATCAACATTTAATTTATTGATGTTTTTAGTAGCTTTGTTGGAGATAGAGAATGAACTGGGTAAATACATCTTTAAATGATATACATCATTAAATAACAGTAACATTTGCATGTTTTCCTATTGTGCATTGTTCTGAGAAACAGCTTGCAACAAGAAATGTTGTTGCAACATTTTTAACAAAATCTTTCAAAAAGTGATGGAGACATTCAGATTCTGTCCTGTCTCCAGTGTAAATGACATCTGTCAATACTTTTGTAATGTCCCGCCCCAACCAGGCTGATTGGTCGGTTCACAACAAGTGACACTGATGAGCTACATTCAGCACATGGCTGCTTGAAAGGTGCCCAAGCTTCTCTTCTCCCTCGTCTCTCTCCGCCTACAGAGTTTAGCAGGCAGGCAAGAACGGGAACAGGTGAGCGTCACGTAGCGCCCAGAGAACCTGATATGGAGAGGGCAGGGGAGAAGACCAGCAGCTTGGGAGAAGTCCCGGTATGCAAGAAAATGTCCCGGTACACCAAAGATCAAAATGCCGAGGTGCCGGTACTGCATACCGGTGCGTTCCGGCCCACTTCAAGCACTGGTTTAGGGGTGCTGTGAGTGATGTGTGCCAATCGTCCGTCCAGAGTGTTCACATCTTTGGGATCTGGGAGGAGGTCCACAGGAATGCCATCAATGAAACAGTCGTCTGCTCTGGGTCAGATTATCCAATGGGCATAATGGGCACAGGCCCAGGGGCCCATGTGCAGTTGGGGCCCTAGCAAGGAGAATAAATACGTTTTTTATTATTTTTTTACAGCAGGCAAGGTATATTTCTGTGATAGTGCACTCTACTCCTGACCTGTCACATACTGACCAGCTGACATTCATTTTTAAATTTGTCAGTATTGAGTTGAAAACTATAGAAATAATTGCTGGCTTTGAACCAATGGACACTGTAATAGCTTTGTTTGACAGTTTAAGTTTAGATATCGCAGACTGCAGAGGCCAGCCATATGACAATGCAAGCAATATGTCGGGGAGCTATAATGGGCTGCTGGGCTGAAATCGCTTTCATCAACCCGTTTGAGTTTCCGGGCAGATGTATCTAAAGGCCTTTGTGGGATTTATGCACACATCAGGGATATACTTCAGAGCATATCGTCTGATACAGGAGAAAAACATAACACACGCAAGATGTCTATGAAGATTCTCAGTCATCCAGGTCATAGTTATCCAACGAAGGTGGATAGGTAGGAAGGTAGGAAGGTTCCAGAACTGAAGAAGTCCTTTGGATGAGGGACGAAACGTCTTCCAGTATCTTCAACCAAGTCCAGTTGCCCTTGATTTCAACTCAAACCTGGGCACTCTTGAATTGCTTGTTCGTAGCTCCCTACCAGAACGCCTTGAGTGGCGAAGTCTTGGCGAAGAGTTTGGGTCTGCTGAGTCCGTACTTGGTCAGATTCTTTGTTGTTTTGTCAAACGTGTGGGTCCAACTTTTTATATACAGTCTATGGGTTCTATGGTATTACTTTACCTACTGACTAGTAGTGTAATGCAATGGCGTCGCCAGGATGTTTTGACTGTAGCCCCGAATGTAACTCAACAACAGCAACAAAAATATTTTCCATGTTAATATGCAATAATCTTCATGACAAAGCCTGTCTCGCACGTCTTCAAAGAGCGGAGGCTACTGGCAATAACTGATACATTTTGTTTGAAGTTCAGGAAATGTTCAGGGGCGTTTCCAGGCTCTTGAGTTACATTCGGGGCTACAGTCAAAACATGACCTGACGACGCCGTTGTGTAAATCCTTAGTCGGGGACAGCCCTATTGTCATTACTGTGTCACAGTCTAAGATGAAAATAAGTATTTTTGGACCCTCTTGAAAACGAGATGCTGCATCTCAAGGGGCTATTCGCGAATAAAATAAAAAAAAAAGAAAGAAATTGAAACTCTGGCTTCAGCAAGTGATGCTTGAATAAGTATAATTTTTTGTCTCATTTGTTTAAGTGGGTTCCCTTGATCTACTTTGTGTGACTTGTGTGAAAATCTGAGTATGTTTTAGGTCATATTTGAGCAGAAATATAGAAAATCCTAAAGGGTTGACACTTGTTCAAGCACCCCTGTTAATTATACTATCGCATTAATTGTTGATGTACATGAGCAAAGGTGAAATAAAGTAATTAAAGTCTTGAGTTTGTAAAAACATTTTTTTTTTAAAAAGACGACACAATCCAAGACGCTAAAGTAACACATTGTGGATTTCATTGAATAAAACATAAAGCGTTGAAACATAACATGCAGGCAACACAATTATTGCAACAACATATTCATTTTTTAAAAGCCATGCTAACTGCGTGGCTCTAGGAAGGTTGATCTCCTAGTCAGTCCACCACTGGTTCAGACTGAAATATCTCAACAACTATTAGATGGATTACCATGAAATCTTGTGCAGATATTCATATTCCCCAGAGGATGAATCCCAATGAATTTGGTGATCCTCTGACATTTCCTCTTGCCCAACCATGAGGGTGGTTTTCAGTGAAATATATTAACATCTAACAGATGGATTGGCACAGAATTCATTTTAAACTTTAATTTCCCCTCAGATATAATTGCAATAATTTTGGTGAGTCTTTGACTTTTCATCTAGCACTATCTTTAAGTCAGAATTTAAATGTGTCCAATTATTTGGGTTATGACAAAATATCTGCAGAATTAAAGACATTCCCACCAGCCTCAGTTGCACTTTTTGTTTAGTGCTAATGTTTAGTGCAGGGTTAACAAAGTTAGCATGCTAATATGCTAAACTATAAGATAGCGGACATGAAAGATATTAAATCTCATCAGCATGTTAGCATTGTCATTGTTAGCATGCTGACATTAGCATTTAGCTCAAAGCACTGCTGTGTCTAAGTACAGCCTCACAGACACACTAGCTTGGCTGTAACCCAATATTTCATGGCATTGTCATATGGCAACAATGCTTTAAAATCAAAATCAAAATCAAATTACACTGGTCCAATATTGTTTACAGCTTAGACAATGTTTTCTTGTTGGAATATAATATCTTGTAAATGATTTACAGGTGCTGAAACACATTGATATATTGTTCTTATTGTACAATAATTGTAATAGTAGGAAGTATTATTATTATTTTGTGCTATTTACATTGTAAAGTCTGCTTACATATGTTGATTTTATCCATAGAACATGCAAGACAACTTTTCTTTTTAAGGGATAGGAACAGTGAGCTGGGCAGACTTAGCTCCTGCAAAATGCCAAGATGTAAAGGCATTGTGGGGAACAGGTGCTCTAAATGTGTTTCCCTGCATTACCCAAGAGCAGAACTACTTCGGGGACAAGGGGTGAAACTGGTGCAAAAATAAAGAGTGTATGAATTTGATGAAAAAACCTGTTGATGGTGACAAAATGGAAAGATTAACATTGAGTAAAAATGATTTAAGGTAAGTATGGAATAAAGTATTTTTAAATCAAGAAAATCATGCCTGCGTGTCTTATTACCGGTGTACCTAACAGTCTTATTACATTGTTATTATTTACATAAATTACAAACTACATTAAAACTGAAAGTAATTTCACAGTATAAACATTGGGCTATCAATTTAAGTTGAATTTGTTTAATCTTGTTTATAATAAAAGCATGTTTTGAGAGAAGCAGCATCTTCCACAATTGCACATTGTATATACATGCATATGGCAACAATTTAACAACAACCCCCCCTTTAATTAATTATTTTTTTAATATTTACATTATTAAAGCAATTTTAAGCCACAAAAACACATTGAAACAATTTTCATTTCATTTTTCAAAAAATACCTCATGCAATAGAGGGTTAATGGTCAATAATATAGCCACTTGAATTTATCTAACTTTATAATTAGAGCTTGTTCCATGTATGCATTTGTGGAAAAGCAAAAATCATGTAAACCCTACTAACTTACACACACTGATGCCCTCTAGTGATTAAATATCAGTATTACATTGCAAAGAGGCACAACAGGTTGGCTTCTTAATGGTATTAGAGAACTATTGTATTGACAACAGATTTAAGTTAAAGGACTGTGTGAAATGCCTTTAATCACCCAATTATATTTTTTATGACAAAAATATGCCATTACTTGTTATTATTCTCGAAACAACCCCTACATTTACTCATTTAGCTGAAGCTTTTATCCAAAGAGACTTACAATTGCTCGTTATGTCAGAGGTCGCACGCCTCTGGAGCAACTGGGGTTAAGTGTCTTGCTCAGGGACACAATGGTGTCTCACAGTGGATTCGAACCAGGATCTCTCACATCAAAGGCAGGCGTCCTGTCCACTGCTCCATCACCACACAATAATCTTCCTTCTCCCAGAATGAACTCAAACCAGAGCAGAGCATAAAAGCATAAAACACATTATGAACCCGTGAATCAGTATGCTGCTGGTACTACTCTTCGGTCTGGTCTTTGGGTCCAAACCTACAGAAAAAAGACAGTTGACTTGAGATGTCAATCAATATCTGAGAACGAAGCACTGTGATAGCTCTTATTTATATGATCGTTTTTAAATTCATGTTAGGGATATAATACGGAGCCCCGAAACTGACAAAATGCAGTAAAAGGTTATAAAATGAGTCAAAGATATATATATATATACTAAATAATTGGAAGTGAAAGGTAAGGTGTAAACCTTATTTCTATTTACATTCTATTACATTAACTAACTAACAGCATCATTTATTAGTGCACTATATTTTTGACATTTTTGATAACTAATTTACTGCCTTTCTCAGCTTTGGGGCTTCATAGGCACTCCATAATGCTAACGAAGAGAATAATTATTAAAATGGTGTGCACATACTATGGCATGAATTTAGCATTTAAACTATTATCAAAATGTTTTTGCAGATTGGCAGATGACTGCATTAGGGCTGAACGATTAATCATTTTCAAATCGAAATTGCGACTTGATAGAACTCCATTAGCCGATTAAAAATGTAGGTTAATTATACAGCGCATCTGACCCATTTTTAAGTCATGCAGTTACAACTTCATTCCATTGCCATCCTTGTGTGACAGATGTGCTTCCTGTTCAAGTGCTATGTGCTTCCTGTTATGGTCCTACTCACCAATCAGAGTGGGCACAGTGTGTACATTTCACAACAACAACTAAAACTAGAGGAAAACCTGTGGGGTAATGGCTCAGCCGAACAGAGTGGCAGTATAGCTCCGCGGTTTTGTCTGTCCTCTGTCCGGGTTCAACGCACTCTGGAAGTGTTTCAGCAGCGGAGCGTTTAGCCTGCCCCACATCGCTGACATGTTGTTAATTTGTCCTTTTTTGTGCTTCTACTACAATAACAGCTGTATGTGAGCCGGGTTTTATTCTGCTCTCCACATGGCTACATAGCCCATATTGAGCATTTCAGAATAAGAGCGCTTTGCCTGCCTGATTTTGCGGACTTGTTCAGATTTTGTTAATTGGTTCCGTTGTCCTTGATTTTTGTGCTTCTAGCATGGTTAACTCAGGTACACAGTTAAACTTATTCTTTTTTTGTCTGTTTTATCTGTGTTTATTGTTGATATACGATTGGGAGTCTGCAGAGGGTGTTTTATTTTGCAAATCGTGCCACATCAGTTTTGATGGTGTCTCATGTTGTAATGCTCGATGACATGTTTTATCTATTACATAGGCCTACTAAATATTGAAAATTTGTTAAACTTGCAATATCTGGCAGAAAGATCTTAATTCGATTTTTCCCCTAAATCGTTCAGCCCTAGATTGCAACCACTACAACTCCTGCTTTAGTTTTATTTTTTTATAAGTCGAGTGTGTGGGTAAAGGAACCGAGAACAATTTAAATTTTTACTCACGTTGGACAACCACATTAAAATTCACAGTGATAGTCCCTACATCGTTGCTGACCAAACAGGTGTACCGCCCTTTATCCCGAAGAGCTACAGAGCCGATACTGAAAACACTGCGACTGGAGGAAGTAATCTTATTTGATGGTAGCGTCCAGGTGAATGAGGGGCTGGGGTTTCCCACAGCAGTGCAGTTCAGTTGTAGAGGGGTTCCCTCTAAGACAGTAAGGTTAATCGGATCTCTATGGGATGACCCCTCTCGATGAGGCTTATCTGTGTGTTGATTAAGAGAAATACAACACCTGTTATTAAGGTAAAAAGAGCAGAAAAGTGCACTCTTACTTACATATAAGTAAACATTTTTGCTTTCTTTCCAAGTGTTATAAGACTGACAGCACTTTAATGTCTGTACACTAAATATGAAGCTACAGCTCGCAGCGGGTTAAGTTTAGCTTAGCATAAAAACTGGAAATGGGGGAAAAGCCAGCCTGGCTCTCTCCAACGATATAACATTTACTGCATTTATAGAGAAGCTATTTCCTTCGGCAGGGCCCGTGTTAACTTTGATACTGTCAGCTACATAATATTGACTAGGCTGGAAACACAAGGTGAGTGGGCACGGCTAGCTGTTGGGTGGCAGAGGAAACAAGTTGAGAACACAACAGTTACATATTAATATTACCTTTTGATTCTGCAAACTGAAACAGAGCTACATCAACATTCATTTGTTGTGTTTCTGGTCATCTGAAAAAATCAATGCCCAATATTCACTCTCCTTTTAGCTCCATGTTTGGTCTCCACGAACTGAAGGTATTACTTGTTTTTTAAGCTGCTAATTGCTTCACTATGTTCACCAGTTAGTCGCTAACTTTGTCTGCCTGCTGTTTGGCGCTGGCCAGGTAGTGTGCACTGGGTTTATACGGCTTTTTTTCTGAAAATAGCAATCTACCGCAGTGTAAAACAACGCTGATGAGATTTGTGAGGGTCCATAAAAAACAGTAAAGTAAAAAAAAAACACTAGGCCTATTAAAAACTGTAAAGATGAGGGGAACTGCAGAACCCTTTCACATATCAGTAGTCATATTAATTAGAGCAGATTTAAGTAACAGATCAAAATACGTCTTCCATCACTGCAAAACAGGCCAACATGATAAACAAGGGTGTCATCGTGTGTCGATATTGTTATTATCAGACTCACAGTGGACAGTTGCAGTGATGTTTTGCGACATCACCACTGGAGGGCGCTGTGGTCCTTCAGGTCCCAGTTCTAGCTTGGCTTCACACCAGTACTGGACTCCATCGTCCTTGTTACTGGGGATGATGTTTAAAGTGAAGGTCTCAGTCACTGGTGTCTTCTCTTTGTTGTTGTTGTTGGACTGCAGTTGACCCAGTGCTGTGTGTCCTTTGTAGAAGGTCACAGTGAGGTTTTCAACAGGAGCAACATCCTGTACTGTACACTGCAGAGTGTACTGATGACCCTCCAACATCGGCCCAGAGTGATCAACAAAGCTGATGGACACATTATGTGGAGGCTCTGTGGAGAAAAAGAGAGAGACAGATGTAGAGAGACAGATGCAAGATAAAGGTTGTAAACAACAGCTTTATTTTAGTATTTATTTATTATTAACAATTGTTTGTAGAAATAAATAACAAATTGAAAGGAAAACAAAAACAAAAATTAATTGAAAAGGTGTAGGCTGACACTTTAGCTTATTGTACCTTTTTGGCATTAGCCTTTTTAAAAAATATTCCCCTTCATACTTAATATCAAACCATTTATTTTGTGCTTTCAGTTTTTTTACTCTATTCAGTAGCAGTTCCAAACTTTTCCCAGAACAATATTAATTTGTGTCATCAGCAAATAAAACAAATTTTAACAATTTAGACACTTTACATATGTTATTTATAGTATAAACACTTTTGGGCCAAGCACTGAACTTTGTGGAACACCACAAGTAACCTTCAACAAATAAGATTCGACAATGCGTACATATTAAAATCTGTCATTCAGGTAACTTCCATGGACGCTATCCCTCTAATACCATAGCCATGATCAATAACATCAAATGCTTAATTTTAATTCTATAAACACTCCCACAGTATATTCCTTGTTGTCCATTGCAGTAGAGATCTCTTCTACCAGTTTCATTACTGCAATTGTGGTCGACCAATTTGCTCTAAAACCATAATGATGAGTATTCAATAAACTGTGTTTTTCTATCTTTGGAGAACTGGGAGGCAGAGAAATTAGTCTATATTTTGAGAATAGATATCTATCTCCACTTTTTGAGTAGGAATGACATTTGCTGTTTTCATTTTCCTGGGAAATATACCTGTTTGGAACAACTGATTGCAGATATGTGTTAAATGTTTCACTATACACTGTATAATATTTTTATTGACATATAGATTTTGATTATTGATCTTATTTCCTTTTTGTCAACACCCCTAATAAAAATGGAGTAGAATTTTTTATAAATAAGATGTTCTGCTAAATTCTATCCAATATTAGTTTGGACATAATATTACAATAGTTTGTGATAATGCTCCTTATTAGATATCATTATAGCCTACTTAACAATTTATTTTTATATATCTTATATTTGTTTTCTGCTTCTTTTGTATTTTGCATAAATGTTTCTTTTTGCATGCGTTATCTATCCCCTTGGTAATCCATGGCTTATCTGCGTATTTGTTCTTCCATTTGAGTTTTCTTAACACCATTCCTTTCACAAAGTGATAAACAAAGACTCAGGCTTTGTTACATTCATCATTAGCATAAACCTCATTCCAGTTCTGTTTCTTTAGGTCCACCTTAATGGCAGTGATGGCTTCTGGTGTTCTATATTGAATCAATTTGCAGGTGTTAGTCCTATTTTTATTTTTTATCTGAATACATTTATGAAAAATAGCAAAGACAAGACAGTGGCCACGGTGTCATTTATGAGTAGTCGACTTAGTTTTTTCAATTTTATTTGTGTGTAGCCATGTCTGTTGTAATTGTACTTGGTTTTACAATAACAGGAAATAGGCTATGGCGGTACATTGTATTAACAAAGACTGTTGGTTAATGTTAAACAACTCATATCCTTTCAGTTCCACATCTCAGACATCTTCATTATCAAGCAAAGTCTCAGATACAGTGATTACACTGAACTCTTTGAAACGACACAAATAATCCTTGATTTTAGAGAACTTTCTGTAGAGGCTTCTACTGTTGAAGTGTATTATTAATAAAGCACCTTTCATTTTTACTTTACTGTTGAATAGTTCATCTGTGTAGTACTTGTAAATGTGGTTGTCCGAGTTCAAATAAAGTTCTAATAATTTTCATAATTACTATTACTATAGCAACAGTATTTTGTTCAACAGCATGTTTACTTACGGTAGACAGTTACAAGCAGTTTGGTACAACACTGGCCAGCATTGCTTGCATAATAGCAGATGGCAGATGTGTCCCATTCAGTCATTGTGCCAATTATCCATGAAATCGTGGTTTCGGTTTTTTCTATGACACCCACAGATTTTTCCAAACCATTGGCTGCATTGGGGAGGCAATGCTGACAAACAGTGCAGTTGGCAGAAGTTCGGTCGCCATGCTTCACTACCAGTCTGGACGGAGTGAACACAGGTTTATCTGCACAGTTTTCATCTGTAACACACATTAAATTTGACATTTACATCAAACGGCAGATACAGTTTTAAAGCCATTGCCATTCCACACACACTGACAATCAGAGCTATTGTAGTTTTGCTTTTGTTCAATTTTACATATTTTCTTTAAGACAATCTCTCGTTAATTGCCGAAATTGTATGGTGCCAGGCAAATTGAGAGTATAAGTACAATTCAACACTGACAAAAAAAGCAACTGTCCTGGTTTAATGAAGCATATGTATATCTTATGTGGTCTAATTATTTTGTATATACAGTACATAAACAATTGCGTGTTGTGCACCTTAAATACACAATATCCATATACTGAAATTTTACACAATGTAGTTATTGTATGTTAATAATTTTAGTTATATGTGCTTGTTTCTGATAATTAATATTAATAATGATAATATAGCTTTATTTGTCAGGCATTTTAAAAGAACAAAATTACCAAATGCTACAGAATACAGAAGCATGAATGCACAAAGGAATCACAAAAAAATGAATGAGCCAGAGTGTTAAAGTGCTGTTAGTGGTCAAAAGACTAGACAGGCGCTATACAAGTACAGGCCATTAAAGCAGGCTACGCCTTGAACTGTAATGGCGTTGGCAGAGTTCAACAGCTGCACAACAGAACAAAAAGGTTCTGACAAACCACCATAAGAAATCATTATGTAATGTAAAATCTGATGATTATAAATCTCTTTTAAAGTGGCCTACAAATTGAAAACTCTTTACTTACCACAACTGAATACATGGAGGTCGCGCAGAAAACTCATCAAGGAAACAATCAAAAGAATTAAACGGAAAAACATTATTCACAGTTGTTTTTTGGTAAGACAAATATAAAGAATTGTTGAACATAAAAGCCAAAGTTGGTCAGAAAGTCCTCAGTTTCTGTCGTAGTAGAACAATATTGGTAGCGCAGCCTGTGATCACACCACACTAAGTTGATCATTTGTGGTCCGGAAACCACTTTTACATCAGGCCCTGCCCATCTCCTCTTTTGTACATCCCCCTCCCTAAGCTGCTTATGACAAAAGCAAAAAAACATGTTCATAAAAATTAGACAAAGAGTAAACAAATATATACTACCTACTGTACGTGGTTATGGTAATTACGGTGATATAAAGAGAGCAAAAACAATTCTAAATATGTTTCAGTCTTCCAGTGGTACATTGTTTGTTTATATACATTTCTTAATGTTTTGAGTCTCTCAAGCAAAACTCCAATCACTTCCATCATGGTCATTATATTGGGGTGGAAGTGCAAATCTAAGAAACAAAAATGTAAACTGAGTTAATATCCACATAATGTTATCTGTATTTGGGTAAACCCCTATGATATGAATGTAAGGAAATGTATTGTCCAGACAGGAGCAATTTGCTTCCTCATCACAAACATAGGCCTATGCACACACATTCAGACATACTGATCTGTGTACACAGTATCTGTAGCCCTATGGGTAGTTTTCACACGAGGAAAAAAAACAGGAAGTTTGATAGATGATGAGCTATCTAAAGAGGAGTAAATGGTGAAGCAGCTTCAGCCTCAAGCCAAAGAAGATGGCTGAAACTTGGCTGAAATCTGACTTGAAGTCAACCTAGAAAGGAAAGTTTTGTGCAGTCATGTGGAGTGCAGTGTGCCAAGCAATTGTTTCTCAACTTCCCGGGGATCTTTATCTTTATGTTTCCTGACAGCCCTCTCTTGATGACTTGGCGCATTCAAGTACAACTGTATTCAAAAAGTCTTCAGCAGTGCTCATCCAGTACTGTTGTATTTTTTAAACAGCAGGGCAACACCAGAAATAGGAGTACTTAAACTAAATTTACAACGCTAGTTGGTGTTGGAGGCTATATATTCCCTTGTGTTGACTGCTGCCGGCTAACTTCCGCTTCCTAAATAATAAAAATTTAAGAGCACAGAAAAAATGTTCATGTAACAAACAATTTATTATATAGGCAAAATATTTATACTAAGTGTGTGTTCCTTCTCCTTGTGTGCAAGTGGAGGACTGTGGACGTGAAGACCCTAGTATCTGGAAACTTGAAACTTCAAAAACTGCTTTTAAAAGTCAGATCAATCATCACAGTGATGAGAGAAAATACTCAGAAAACTACTGTGATTGACTCATTGCAGCTTGTGGCATGGGGAATTGTTGTTTTTGCACCAGGGGCGTATATGCAATACACGTGCACCACCCACACAACCCACTCCACACTTAAAATAAAATTACTGAAAAATATTTCTAAAAATAACTTTAGTAAAACACATGTAAAAAACTAAAAAGGAAGTGTGTTGCTCTCAGGAGGAGGAGGCTAGAAAGAGCACACAGGCACAATGGCCTCCTGGCTCTAGCTAAATCATCTGTTTACTGCAGAGACTCTACCCACAACCTGAAGAAACTAGTAGGCCTATAAATTAGTGTATTGGTATAATATTATCACATAAAATGAAGAGTATAGTGTTCATTTAATAGTATGCTGTTAGTATAATTTTTATACATTTATTATAAAATGTTATTGTTGATTATAATTTCAAATAGTACACCCGATAGCTTACCACTAGTATAATATAAATGCAGCATATACAGTAATAGTATTTTTATTTTTGTGGGTTGTTGTCATTAAATCCTTGTGCAAGAAAAATGGTCTACATTCGTTTCTTATTTGTTAATGGTAAGTAATAACTTTTCAATAATAACAAACCATTTATGCATTTCAATGAGTTCAACATTTCCAAAGTTTGCTGCAGCACATCAAACTTTAATGTCCCGCCCCATCAAATGGCACCTGAAATAGCGCAATGGTCCACTAGCCAAATCCAAAGCTGGGTTTGGCTGATTGGAAAAACTGATCACATAATCGTCCAATATCGATTTTACGTGTTCAAACTGAAAATCAAATGCAAAATTGTAACTTGTATTTCACACATTGAAATTTAAAAGGCCCTTATCCAGGCGACTCTAGACCTTTCAACAGACTTCAGGTCGCAAGGCTTTCTGGCAAAAGACGAGGCTTTCAGTTTTTTGTCAGCCATGACAAAATGGGAGCGACTGCACAACACACAATTTTGAGAAACTGAATTTGAAAACTTGAACTGAAATTTAAGTGTCAAAAGCTGCAGTTTGGTTAAAAGAGCAACACTCCCCAGCGCTTATTAAAATATCGTTTGAAACCCAAGCAAAGCAGTTTCAGTTATGCGTCTCAGATGAAAAACCAGACTGGAATTTATCAAAGATTTCATGGCTGTTCAGGACCTGTACAAGTTGTTTACATAATAGTTTTTCCCATAACCTCTGAAATAAAAGGAAGTTTGGATAGAGGTCTATAATTACTGGCAAGCAATGGGTCAAGGGTTGTTTTTTTAAAAAGTGGCTAAATAATTGTATCTTAAAAATAATCAGGCCCACAGCCATAGCTAAGAGAGCTATTTACAATGGAGTTTATACATGATCCTAAGCAACTAAAAACATCTTTAAACAGAGCGACTGGAGTAATATCAAGATAACTAGAGGCATTTGGGAGACAATGGCTGAGAGTTCTTCCAATGAAATTGGGCTAAACTGGCTCAATATAGAAACATGGGCTAGGCAGGAAACCCAAGTGTTACAGGAAGGCAATATTTTAGACATTATGTCAGTAATCAGTGGTCAACAAAGAATGAAAAAACATTTCAGTCATAATTTGAAAGATCGGTACCAGGGAGTAGCAGAGTTTACCATTCTCTCAATTGTGCTAAACCAAGCTCTAGGATTTTTCTTACTGCCATCGACTGGAAAAATAAACAGCATCACATTACTTTCCAATTAAAAGATGAAAGCAGTTCTTTCATGTAGTTCCTTTGTATCTTGTTTGTCACAACATTTTAACACTCAAGTCAGAAGTGTAATGTAATGCATTTTTATTGATAACTTTAGGTTTATTAGCATACAAAGAAAATAGGAACACAAAACAAAATATTTTTAAAATGGACAACTGAACAAAAATGTACAAAGAAATCCATGTTCTGTAAAACCAGAAGTGAAAGCTAATCTGTCAAAGAACCTGACATGAAACTGTTCACAGTCTGATCGTTTCTGAAATTTTTACCCAACTTGAGGCTTACACTTCAAAAGCCTGGTCAAGCCAGGTAAGGCCAAAAGCAGGCCATTCGAGGTCCATGATTAATTTCATGGTAGACAATAGTTCCAGTGGCGTTCGTTGGGTAACACCTGACTGAGTCGAAGGCAGCAGCTAATGGTGGGCTCATAAAACACACTGTCTGGTTCCTCAATCTTCACTTCTGCCTCACGTCTTGTCTGGTGCACAGAGCGGGCGAACAGGGAGGGCTTAGGACCTTTCACCAGAGTTTTCTTTGTCAAACAGCCCATGTCTATGAGTGCCTGTGGGAGAAATAAGGAGGTTCATAGATCAGCCATAAAGAAGGGTAATTTTTTAAAATACTTTTAGAATTCAATGTATTGTTAAATAAATGAGCTAATGTACCAGGCTTCTTTTTCTGAACCGCCACTTCTCTGACAACATTGTGTACATCTCCTTTTTCCGAAACAGAATGAGTAAGCATGTGAGCTTATGTAGGTGAGAGCATTTTACCTGCACCAGTTCCAGCACCGCCATTGGCTGCAACACATCTTTGTAATGTTCCACTAATGTCTGCTGCGTGAGTCCGGGTCGAGACATGACGTGGTAAAGAACGGCCTCTAGCATGCCCTTACACACCTGCCGGTTCAGACTGCCGTCAACCATGCGCCACGGCCGGCCGATGAAACTCACATTTTCACTGCGTGGATCAGAGGTCGGTGATGGAAACAGAAAGAAGAAAGAGGTGACACGTGGAAAGGGGAAATGTACAAATAACTGCAAAAAGATAATTAGTCAATCAATCTGTCACAGTCTGTACTTACTCAACATCATCTGGTCCTGATGGTGGAGAGCACGCTTCCTCATCTATACTGTCCGCTCTGGCTCTAAGCTCTCTCTTTTCCCCCCATCCTTCCTCAGTTTCCACCTTCTCCTGTTCTGCCTCCTCCTCGCCTTTCTCTTCAGGTTGCATCTGCTTTCGTTCCTCCTCTTCCAAGTTCAACAAGTTGTCTCCACTTCCCTCATCTGCCCTTTCTTTCTGCTTTTCCAGCTGTCCTTCCTCGTTCAGTTTCTCTCTGCTCGTGTCACTCGACAATCCCTCTACGTCCTCCCTGTCCTCGCCCTCTTGTCTTTCCACAGCTGATTTTTTTGCTGGCGGCTCCTCGGTCTCCTGTTGACTTCCTCGCCTGCATCTCTTCACAAAGGGGAGTCTGGCAGTCGGGAGGTTTGACTGGGACCATTGCTTGGAGTTTACGGTCAGCAGCCACGGATCAGCGTGCTTCATGAGCACCCAACGGATGCCCAAACCCCCGACTTTTAACACCTGGCCTTCTTCCTGTAACTCCTGGAGCAAAAGGGAGAAAATCAGATCGGGAAGAAAGACAGAGGAAGAAGGAACTAGGTAACTAATTGTTCGCTAAACTCTTCCCCAAACAGCAAGTATGCAATCATAGATTAATGTCTGGGGGGTCGAGTTTGGTACAGCAGAGCCAACGAGATGGGAGCCAAAATCCAACCAGTCACAAGAGTTAAGATGTTTTTTTTTTCCTTCATCGTGACTTAATGTATCTAATGCCTCATTTGCGGGATATATTATGAATTTCCAAGATGTCATTCACCAAAATTGATATTTTTTGAATTGTTAAATTGACATAGCTGCTCTGTGGCAGAGAGTGCAGCAAGTGTAGTTTGGTTTTTAGCTTTATTTTACAGGTATTTTGTACATTTTATATGCTGTTTAGCTTTAAATTAAATATTTGTGTTGCATAATGATTTTTTACATGGTAAAACACGATACCTTAATATACTGCTGCAGGCTCCTGGTGCGTCCAGACTGTGGCTCCTCCAGGTGTGCATGAGTCCGGTAGAGGTCACGTGTATCCAAGCCATACTCACCAGCTTCATCTAAGATGCTTCTGAGCTGAGCACATGCTTCTATGTCCTGTGGAGTGTATCCTCTTTGCTGAATCAAATGCCTGTCACACTCCTCCACACTATGTGGAGAAGAGGAGGAGGAACAGATGGAGTAGGCGAGGATGGGAGGCAGTAGTGATGGACCACATTTAGTCAAGTCCAATGGTGGAGAGTCTAAAATAAATAAATAAATAAATAAATATATTTTTTTTGAAGGTGAAACTGTGCTTGTACATGTCTGACATGCATTGATACTTACTCTCCATACTGAACATTTGGTGAGCGGGTGTGTTGCGCAGTTGCAACCTCACAGTACACGACTCCACCACGATGTTATCACTGGTGTTGAGGTTACGCAATTTGACTAGAAATGAAACAAAACAATAATTTCTAGTACAGATTAACCGGTTTTAATTTTCTTAAATAATCAATTTATTGCCTGAACGACAGTCCTAAACTCTAAGATATAAACATATATCAAATGTACAATGATACAAAACAGAGATAAACAGCAAATCTTCACATTTAAGGAGCTAACACCTGAGATTGTGGCATTTTTTCTTAAAAATTTAAGAAACAAATCAATTGTTAGTAAAAGAAAGAACTTCAAATCGTATGTATGAAAGTCAAATTGATGCTGCGTTTTGGTTTCTATTCCTGTAAACAAGCTATATAGTTTTATAATAGTTTGTTTTTATACATTTTGTATATTGTTTATTGTATATTGTTTTTTGTTATAAATGTTCAGTGTATAGTTGTGATTGTGCGCCTTGTTAACTGACTTACAAACAAATGACGATTCCCGTTGAATTAAGCTTTTAAAATTTCATTAGCTATTCTGAAAACTGGACTTTACTCTCTACCACACACCAGGTACAAGTGAGACACAAAACATTCATCGATCTAAGAAAAGTAAGAAAGTAAAAAACACTACCTATGCCTGGACAGCAGTATCCCCGCATCATTAAGTAGTTTGTGTGTGATGCTTGATGTGCTTTCACTTCCATTTTTTTCCTCCCCTCACACTCATCACCGTCATCATCTTCTTCTTCTTCCTCCAGTGCTGCCATACTGAAAAGCCATAGACAACATTATTTTTCTTCTGCAACTCAAACAACAGACTTGAAAACGTTCCACATGAGATATTTACTAAAGCTACAGATGTTCATGAGCCCAGACACAGTTTCTCTCATTTGCATAGAGTCTCACTAAATAACATGTTTTCATTTTCTTGTGCCTGAGTGATTTGCAGGACCCTCTGTCCACCTGTAAATGCGCAAGTGGGTCCAGAGTATAACTGGATCAAAGTGGCCTGCGGACAGACGTCCAGATGTCCTGGTTTCTCTGTAGTGTCCGAGGGTTTTTGGAGTTTCAGTGGACCCAAAGATTGCTATGGACCTGAGTACAGACTAGCTAGAGAGAGTAGATTAAGTGTACTTCTCTGCGTATTCTCTTTTCAAAATAACTGTAACTCAATTATTTGCTCAACCCCTCATCCTGTTTTTATTTTCTATTTTACTCTTTTAATCCTTAATTTACACTGCACTGTAACTTTTATTGTCCTGTTTTACCCTGTTTATTATTATTACTGTTTTTATTTTCTATTTCACCAAAATTATATTTTAATGTGTATTTTTTTTTCAATTACCCTATGTTGCTTTTATGTTTGATGTAAAGCACTTTGAATTGCCTTATTGTTGAAATGTGCAATATAAATAAACTTGTCTTGCCTTTCTGATGTTGTCTCACTTTGTCTCTTCCTCATAGTTGGCACCTTGCTAGAGTGTCCTTCTGTGTATATCTGATAAAACAGTGCCAGAGATTCTACACTTACTTTTCTCATTAGACTAAACAGCACTAGTATCCTGGTTATCTGTTGCGCATGTAAACATATCCTGGTTTCAGAAACCTGGGCCCTGTTTCAGAAAGCAGGCTTAACAAACTCTGAGTTTATCCCTGAGCCCTAAGTTGATTGAACCTGAGATGGGAAACGCAGAGTTTTCGGTTCCAGAACAGCTGATCAGAATAAGTTCAATCATTCTGAGTATGTTGAACCTGATGAAAGCGCGTGTGTGGGGATGAAAAAAAGCCATTATCAATGGAGCTCCGATACTACAATTCATCATGGCAATGGGTAAATAAAGAGCAGAGCCTCCATTTTAATCCATTGGCGCTATATGAATGCATGCCAATGCGGATCATGACATGAATCTTAAAAAACAGGAGGGGAGGAAGGATCAATACGTTAACAATATGAAAAAAAAAATTCAGTAGTCTGCTCATTCAGCAATTACCAGACTTGTCGATGGATTTGATTTTTACATTTGATTTTTGAATATACAGTCCCCACCAAATGTGTTGGAACGGTAAGGCAAATTCCTTTGTTTTTGTTGTTCCCTGAAGACATTTGGGTTTAAGATCAAAAGATGAGACAATAGTTCAGAATTTCAGCTTTTATTTCCTGGTATTCACATCTAGATGTGTTAAACAACTCAGGACATACCAACCTTTGTTTGAACCCACCCATTTTTGCAAAACTATTGGAACATGTGACTGACAGATGTTTCTTGTTGCCCAGGTGTTGCCTTTTTGGTTGATTGTCCAAACATTAAATAGCTCTACATGACTAGTCTAAGTTTTCATCCTTGGTTCAAACCTATAAAGACTGCATTTCCTGTTAAGGAGGATAAACCAACATGAAGACCAGAGAGCTGTCTATGGGAGAAAAGCAAGCCATTGTCAAGCTGAGAAAAGAACGAAGGACAAACATTGGACATAGCAAGCACAACAATTTGTAACGTCCTGAAAAAGAAAGAAACTACTGGTGTACTGAGCAACAGACGTCCAACAGGTCGGCCAAGGAAAACAACAGTAGTTGATGACAGAAATATCGTGAGAGCTGTGAAGAAAACCCCCGAAACATCAGTGAGTGACATCACCAACGACCTCCACAGTGCAGGGGTGAAGGTATCACAATCCATTTCATGCAGCAGGACAATGAGCCAAAGCAAACTGCCAACAAAACAAAGGACTTCATCAGGGGAAAAAGTGGAATGTTTCAGACTGGCCAAGTCAATCAGCTGACCTTAACCCAACAGAGCTGCATTTCTCCTCCATAAGAGGAAACTGTAGCGAGAAACACCCTGAAACAAACAAGAACTGAAAGAAGCTGCGGTAAAAGCCTGGAATGCATTTCACCTTAAGAGGAGACTTAAGAGAGAAACACCCTGAAACAAACAAGAACTGAAAGAAGCTGCCGTAAAAGCCTGGAATAGCATCACAAATGAAGAAGGCAACAGTTTGGTGATGTCGATGGGTCGCAGGCTTGAGGCAGTTATTGCAAGCAAGAGTTATGCCACCAAATATTAAATGTTATTTACTTATTTCTTCCATTACTTTTGCACACCTAAAAATGCTGTGGTCTAATGCAAACCCAAATGTCTTCAGTGAACAAAAAAAAAAAAAAAAAAAGGGAATTTGCCTTACCGTTCCAATGCTTTTGGAGGGGACTGTATTTATTGGCTACAGCTGTAAACTGATGGGACAAAATGCTCAAAAATAGGGTACTGGTGTGCCTGTAAACACAGTGATCTCAGTGATACAACAGATGCAGGAGCTATTTGTATTTTTGTGCCTCAACGTAGCCACACTACCAAGCTTTTCCTCTAATTTACCTTCACAAAACCTCAGTGTGGTCCTTTCAGAAAAAGGACAAACGCAATTTGACATTGGGCCTAAAGAAGGACTGCAAATCCTTATAAACTTATAAACTAATTATCAGTGTTCTTATTATGTTGTGCATGGACAGCTGTAAATCCCCTCAATCAAAAACAATATTTACTTATAAACTTCATCCCCATACTTCCCTATTTAATTGCATGTGGTATATTTACATTGCAGAATGACTTCAGGAAATCTAAACTAAATATAGACAGCAGTAAATGGAATAAAAGTATAATTGGAAATGCCGTGTCTATAATGAGGCTGGGAAATTCTGTTTTCTTAAAACGGTCAATACACTCAAATTAGGTTATTAAATATCTCTCTGGTTATATTTATCTCTGAGATTTGTGCCTCTTTCCCAGTAGAATTCACAATAATTGCTTCTAGACTATAACTACAACAACATGCAACGGTGACATTTAAAGTACATGGATTACAACTCACTTCTTGACTGCATCGTTTTCCACCAGGTTGCTGTCCACCACCACCATCTGTTTAGGTATCGACATGTACACATTCAGCAGTCCCAGAGACATTAGGCTGAGAGAGGCCGCACAGGCTCCTCCTGGAGAGTCCAGAGAGAACTGCAGCAAGTCCGACACACCTGGAGGCTCCTTTGAAGCTCGAGATGCTGCGTTTGAAGTAGCAGCCACTCTCAGTGGGTCTTCTTTGGGTAGTTGATAATCTGTCTGCTCTCTGCTGGATGGATCTTCACCAGAACCAGCTGAAAAGCAATCTTCTGGGTTTTTCTGCTCATCTGCTTTGCTTGTCAACGCCCTTTTCTCGTTCATGTCTATCTCCATCAACTCCTCTACTCCTTCCACTTTTCTTTGGTCGTTCTCCCTTTCCTTTGTGGAGTCACTGTTTGTCTTCTCTGGTTGTACCTCTGGTTCACTCACTGGTCGGCCATCTTCCTTCCCTTCGCTTAGTTTTTTTTTCCTTTCAGACCCTGCTCTTCTCTCCATCACTTCCTCCCCGTTCGCTGTCCTGTTCTCCGTTTCATGGTGGAACATAGTGACAGGTCTGTCGTCTCCCGTCCTGTTGCTGATCAGACTCCTCATGAAGCGGAAGGAATCAGTGCACAACGAGTGAGGAAAACGCCACGAAAAACACCTGTCAGCAAGCAGTGGGAGAAGCCAAATATTACCATGAATTCAACTCAGGAACAAGAGCTAAAAAGTTCCGCCAGGGAATTCATGTTTGTCAAAAAGATGATAGGAGAGTTTGAAAATACTCGAAAGGCATGGCGCTAATTTGTAAACTCACAAAGATGTTTTTTATGTGTTTTTGATTTTCTTGGTATTATTCTGCTTTCATACATCTATTTGGAAAGTTGATTATTTAAATCCCCATCCCTAGTCCATTCCCTAATATTCCTACTAAAAACTACTGCTTTTTTCCCCCCACTTTTGATCTGAAATTACTCTTCCATTGAGCAGGGACCTTTAGAGGCAAGAACTGCTCAGAAAACAAAACTCAGATTAGGGTGCTGTAGCTGAAATGTAAATTAACCTAAGACGGTTCCTGGATGCCTAGAAGAGATCTTACAGTCACAAGAGGCCTTACTAAATACTCCGTATGTTTGCCATTTAGTGCATTACAATTAGATGGCTTGAACTTGATCCTAAGTCACATTGAGTGTCACCTGAAGAGACACACAAAAGGTTAAGAATAACCTTATTTGGACACGTAGTGAATCTCAGTAGGTCTAGTCGGGATAAATATTTTTTTACTAGGCCTACGCATATTTAGTTTTGGCACTACACTGTGTCCTCACTTTGCACTGCTGTTGCCATTGTTAATGCTTACATGTATCAGTCATTTTTTTCTTTTAAGTATCTGGTTTCCTTGCAATAATTTGTATGTGTTAATAATTAATAAAAAAATGTGAATGTAGCATCTTAAAATATAGAATTGTATTGAGACGGTACTACACGGAAATCAAAATAAAATACCACATGCCCTCACTTGCTCAATAATTGACTGTGTAGTATATTGGCACAACAAATTATGTTTAATATAGCAGTGTACCATACAAATTTATCAAAATAAATAAATAGTGCAACAGTCTTTTGCACGTTACATTCTGGTTAAAGAGACCATCTGGTCAAATGAAATAAATAAAATATAAGTAATCTGATTATTGACAGATTCATCTTCCCTCAGGTGGCCGTGTACCTGTAGTAGGACTGGGACAGTTGGAAGGACATCGGCAGGATGGGCAGTGCTCGGTTCTTCTTCGGCCCAAATGGCTGATTAATACGACGGCGGTTGACCAGACCCCTCTTCCTGCACTGTAGGAACACTTGGCACAGCAGCTCCTGTTTATACTTACTGTACATGTGGAAGGTCTAAGACAGAACACAGATGGATAATCAGAAGATTGTGCATATTTTGTGCGAGTGTCATGGGAAATGTGGACAAATGGACTATGGACACATGTTTAGACTTGACTTTTTATCATTATTCATTTATTTAAATTTTATGGTATTTTTACACTTCATAAGTCTGTGTTTTTAGGTCTGTTGCGTTATTTTCAGAGAAAGCATATTAAAAGATGGCCGTACCTGAAAGGATCTGGAGGACTTCATTTGACAGTTGGTCATGGCCAGAGTGCTCTGGATCAAGTTATGTAACACTATGGCATGAATGTCGTCTGTGCTGCAGTGGACACACACAAACAAAAAAATAACTGCTACCCTAAAAACTCGAACTTATTTCGCTGGAAGAAAATCTAAAATTCAAAATGATTCCTCACCAGTTTAGATCGTCTCTCCACGACACCTGCTTTCTATTCTCTATTGCTGAAACCCTAAACCTGTAACACACGTATACAGAATTACATTACAAACTCCACTCAGCTTCTTGTTTCAGCCATTACTGCTTGTGTTACAGTCAGAACATAAAACCTCCTCCTCTTCCTACCTTGAGAAGAGCTGATGTTTTGTGTCAGGTATGATCATATCACTAGCATTCAGAGTAGAGGAGAACTTCTGTCTGAGCAGCCTGACATACTCAGAGAATCCTTTAGCACAATCCTAAAACAACACAGGCAGAAATATCCAACTGTGAAGGCAGAAAGTCAAGAGATCAGAAATAAACAAACAAAGAAAAAAACCAACACACCTCTGAACTGTCCGGATCTGCAGGTCTCTTCTCCTCCAACAGTCTCAAAAGAGTTTTGTCCTGGTACACCTCAGCCAGACAGATCCTGCAACACACAGTTAATGAAAAAAACTGCAGGCTTTGGGTTTAAAAATATGTGTTTTCATTATGTGTACCTACCTGTAGTTCAGAAGCGTCTGAGGATTTTTGAGAATGTATTTTGAGCGACGCCCGACAGCTAGAGATGTTTTATCTGCCGATATCTCAAACTCAGCGTGGAGCAGGTCTCTGACCACACAGTAAGGTACGAATGGCCTTTTTAACTGCAAAACATCAACAATACACTGTATGTTTTGCTCTGAACAAGTACAAACAAGCTCGAAACATAGTTGACTTGAGAAAAAAGGTTGAAGAGCGAGTAGAAAACATAACTGATGATCAAAATCAGGACAATAATTTTTTGTTTATTTTATGATCATGATCAAAATGCGGGGCAACTTTTGCACATTCAAAACATATATAAAGATGTAACTGTTAGTGTCACAATTGTTAAATGTATTTTTTATGTTTTAGTAGTATGCATAATATAGAGCAGACAGGAAAGGAGTGTAGGTCCCTGTCTGGGCGAAGCTGTTGTGGTTACATGGCCAGTGTCTTAAACCTATTGTCCGATTCTTTGAAGGACTGTGGTGCCTCAAGTCAGCTGATGTAGCATTCATCCATTACTTTTTGAAAATAACACGTTTGTACAAGTTGTTATGACGTCATAATTTACACATTGCGCCAAAACACATTGTACACAATTGCAAAAAAATCTAATGAATTCCTTCTGTAGCAGCGAACAAAACTATAAATAGCGTACTGGCATATCATCACTGTCCTGTGATAACCATGTATCTCTAAATCTGGTGATTTTGATTTTTTCAGGTGAAATGAAGGATTGTTCCCTATAAAAGGGAATTTGGCTAATATTCCCACTTCTTAAAAATACAATTACAGCTGCCTGTTTACACATTAAGAAGTTATTGAGAATTTACCAGCATTAATTTGGAACCGTGTGTGTGTCCAGCTGACAAATGTTGAGTCCGATATTGACTCTCTTTTAGCTCTGTGCTTTAGTGTGGATTTGACTTGTTTGAATGACTCAATAAGTTTCTGTCTAAAAATTATACAAATAAAACAAGTGGTGGAAAAATCACCATTTGGTTTAAATGGCCACAGCCAGGCCTTGCTTTGTTTTAAAAGGGACGCAAAAAGAGTTTTAGACAACACTTCTTCATGTATTTGTGTGTGTGGTACCTTGCTATTGAAAAGGTGCGAAGCCACACTACAGAGCATCATCAGTGAATCTTCCTGTACAGACCAGTAGACTCTCTGTCTTGTCATCATTTTCAAAGCTTGGTGGTCCGCATCGTCATGAGCAGGAGTGCGTTTTCTGACCTCTTTAAGGTAATTAAACACACAAAGTAATAAGAATGCACCTCATCCGTCTTTAGTCCATCGGTCACATGCATTCATTTTTATGCTCACATCCTACCTTTCTTCTTCTTGCGTGGGACCTTGACAACCTCCTTTTTGCTTCTCTTCCTCTTCCGTCCCTTTCCTCCGACCACCTGCTGGTTTCTGGAGGCAGGCTCGACACCCACCTAGTTACAAAAACACACCGATGGGAAACATTGTCTGCAGCCTGTACTCTTTGATCTCGGCTGAAATGTTACTCAAGACACAAGATCACAAACACCATAAACTAGATTTAAGAACCAGTCAATGTCTCACTAGCCATCCAAGCAGGGCAATCAGCTGTTTGGCACTGATCTTAACAGAATGGTGTGATATGGAACATCAACAAAGGGAGACTGAAAATAAGTGGGTAATGTAAAATGGGTGTCGCTGGTTTAATTGTGAATGAAGCATTTTGAAAATGACATCTTCAGTGGGAAAAGTTCCAATAACATCACCGTTGTCATCCAACATCGAACATATCAACTAGGAGCTAACAGAGCACAACAACTCTGGGTTTAAGCAGTCTCTGGCTAGCAACACTATAGCAGTAGGTGTTCTGGAGTGTATTTCACAACAACAATAAAACTACTACATCCTCCAAAATGATCATAAAGTTAAATCAACACCTTTCTAAAACAGTTTCAACAAAAACTGAACATTAATAGTACAATTTATTGCAGGACTGATGTATTAGACTGCATTAGTTTTAGATAGGCAGACTTAAAAAACTGGCAACAGAACTCATACCTCAACAGTTTCTAGCATCAGTGGTTTTTTGGTAGTCACGTAACGAGGTTTAGTAGTTGCTCCTGTTAAACACAGACATATAAAAAGTATATTATTGATAAGTAGGAACAGTAACAGCGAGCCAGTAAAACGGAAGACAAGTTTGAAGCTTAAAAAGCTGCCGCCTTCTCTCCTCCACTCAAAGTCAACATAACATCAGATGGAAAAACCAGCAGCGCAAAGATAGCATCAATAACTCCAAGGCTCATAGGTAGGTATTGTTAATGCTGAATTAAGGAAAGAAAACAACTTGGCTATGAAAGTTTGTTTACGATTGAACAGAAAGTCCAATATGAATATGAGAGATATTCGTTATGTTCCAAGCAACAACTCACCAGCTTGAAGTGCAATTCTGAGAGTATTATTCAGCAGGCTCTTCAGTCTGACTTTGTTGTCCTTCGCCTCTAAACCACTTGGGTTCTAAAAACAAATACACCAGATACGTGTGACCAAAATGCAGAAAGCACAAACATTAGGCTGCATTTCATACTGTCTTTTGTCTATGTACATACACACATGTTCTGCTTGTGTTTTGAATACATACATTTTTGATAGCAAGTAGGTGACTGGTCCACAGCCAGTTGCGTTTAAGATGACCAAAGAATTCAGAGTCCAGACCTCCTGCTCCTTTACCGTCTCCTGGTATTGACCCGTCATCGCACACTTCACGACTGCCCCTGTGTGTGTGTGTGTGTGTGTGTGTGTATACAGCATAGACACACATCAGTACTACTCTAACACACTGGTGATAAGCTGAAATTATACTGCTCTGACCTGTTTTTGAATTTAAATGTCAGCTAGTTTGAGTTGATTATCGTATAAAACATGGGAAAGCAAAGAACCAAAAAGTGTAAGTAAAATATATTTGTTTACACCCGATTCTTTATCTCGTAGTGAGTATACTTTTTCCATGTACAACTGCAACTTAAGATTAAAGCTGTAAGCTTTAGGAGGAGGGGTATTGGCAGAAATTAAATATATTATATTGCTGGGACCCACACACTCCAGCACCTGCTTTATTGTGAGGATGTGAAAAAGTCTCATAATTAATTTGTTGAAAGGGATAAAAAAAGATATTCACCCCATGTGGGGATCATACACACAACCCTTAGATTGAGAGTCCTGTGCTCTACTGACTAACACTGACAACCACTCCTAAATTATCCTGTTGCTAACTTACTTGCTATCCCATGTACTAGACTAGACCATCGTTTCTTGAGATGTCAGAAAAACAACTTGTTAACTTGAGATCTCAAGAAAATTATCCCCTTATCTTGGGAAAACAACATTTGTTATTTAGAGATAATGACATGAATAAATCAAATTAAAGAATAAAAGAAAATAATTTAAATTATTTGTTATCATAAATATATGGTCTCTCAGGGCTTCCGTAGCATAGTATGCCTTTAAATTAAGACAAAAATCAATTAGGAAGGCAACGCTTCATCTTCTTGTTTTCAAAACCTGCTGTTACTACAAGCACCATCGACACAGGTTGATCTGTAACAGTGGCAAAAACATGAAAGCAAGAAGTGGACAATGACAGCAAGAGATTCCAGACACATTACAACACAACATATCAATGTAGTTAATAAACACGTCTTACAGAAAAATCATACTCCACCTACTTTAGCAGGTACGCCAATCCTATGAACACGTTGCGTTCGGGCACAAATAAAGGAGCAGGATCGTCTTCTGTGACATTTCTCTTATTGCGGATGACCCCTAGAAAAAAAAAAAAAAAAAAAAAGACAAGCACATCTTCAAATAGAGAAAATTATAATTTTCCCCTTAATTACCAGTGTTGTGAGTGATTCTGCTTTGTGTGTGTGTGTGTGTGTGTGTGTGTGTGTGTGTACCCAGTGCTGTATTGAGGCAGACACACATCAGGTCGAACCAGTAGTTTTCTACATCTTCAGCAGTGTTGAATGTGTACCGGCGCCTCTCAAACGGATTGTCCGGCGACTCTGTGACCAGCCAGTAGTGCGGCTCAGCATTGGTGGTGTCAACAATAGTGGCATTGCGCTTCAAGTACAAAAAGAGCTGGTGCAGGTATGGAGACAAAATATGAGACTTGTGAGAAGAGAACTGACTTCATTTTGATGTCCTTTGACCAAGTAAAGAACCTCTGTATCTTGCTTTTAAAAACACGTGCTGTAAATACAAATATTGTATTTGGTGTTGGTGAAAGCCCTTTTCAATTGTAGTTGGTTTTGTTTTACATATGAGGCAACTTAAAAAACTTCATAATTAGTACGTTTATTTGTAATTCTACAACACTGGGCTGCACAATAAATTAAAGTTGTAGCCATCTTTACACTACTAACAAAGAACATAAATACAAATATATAAAATTAGAATATAATAAAAACTACATATACAGTAATGTATATACAAATATTATACAAGGTATAACCTGATCCTTCTCCTTGAACTTCTCCACAGGACCAAACTGTAGTAGACCCATGTAGACCATCTTCTGCAGGTTCTCAAAAAATGAGAAGAGGTATCTCCTGATATAAGGAACCCATAAATACTCAATTTAGAATTTCATTTATGATGTGTTATAGAGAGAGAAAATGGAGAAGGAAAGTCACCGTTTATAAAGCAGCTGTCTTTTCATTCTGGCAGGGAGCGCACTAACAAGATGATGTTGCTTCACAGGGTCGTTGAGATATTCCTCCAGTCCATCCACCTGTGGAGTCAACAAAAGAGTCTTCATGTACAGCATGTGCTCCGTCTTTCCTCATGCATTACAAGTGGGCGATCAACAATCTCACACATTCCCACATGTACAACTTTTGAGGGATGATGGAATCTACATTCAGTTTATTATTTACACCTATACACCAAATATTTTAACCAGTCCACTTATATAAATGAGAATACACGAAATATTAGAACCACCTCTTAGTATATCTCTGGCGTTTATTGCAGGAATGTATCAGGCAGCATTTGTTTAAAACTACATGTACCTAATATGCTGGAAATTGAGTGTATATCATGTCCAGGTAATATTTAACAATTCAATTTTAAAGAACATGTGTTTGTAGGCTGTTGGCAGGGAATAAATGATTACCATTAGGATAATCGTTTTTCTTGCATTGCACAGCTATTCAACTATGAAATCAAATGTATGTAAGTCAAATGTTCAGCATCACTGTCACAGATGAGGATCATGTCACCATAAGAGAAAACAACCTAAGAGTGCACAGACAGTACGTGGGATGGACTGCATAACATCGTTCAAAAACAAAACGTGTGCTCACCTTATAATTGATCTGTATGACCTGAACAAAGACTGAGAGAGGCAGGCAGAGGAGCACGTCGCCAACCATCGCCCAGCCGCTGCCAAACTCCTTGTGTACACGGACAGGAGGAATGAATTTCTTCCACGAATCTTCATCACAATACACTTTCAGAGGCAGGCAGAAGATTACAGGAAAATCAAGGTGGTTAGTCGGGAAAAGAATTGCTTGAAAACATAGGCATTTTGGCCTTCTGACAACAAGTAAAGTCATTAAGAAACTAAATGTAAGCAGATTCAAAATGGGTACAAATGTTATTTAACGGAAGAGTTCCCACACATGATGCTCTCACCTTTCATGTCAGACACAGAACCACCAGGTGCTGATTTATCCTTCAGCTTATCCTCTTCATCACCTGAGGATGTCGCATCTGAATTAGACAGAGCAGAATGTGCAGTTTGTGGGTCTACAGAGTCGGTGGCAGCACTTTCAGATGGCTGTGTTGGGCCGTCCTGTTTTTTATGGTTGTCATCACGATCAGGGTTGTTTGGGTTTGCTGGTGTTTCACTGGTCAAGTGGGAGCCAGTGTAGCTGTTTCTGCATGGGTGCCCGTATATGAGGTACCAGAGGAAGTTATGAATAATACGGAGACGAGGCATCTTAGGCTGGAAGCCAAAAGTCTTTCCCAAACCCCGAACTATAAAAAAAAAAAAAAACATCATCATACAGTGCAATTACAGTCAAAAGGAAACTTAAATAGAGCATCAAAACGGGTGAAGCTGCAGGATCTGAAAGAATTTTTCCAACCGGGAATTCAAATTCACGCTTTCTTTCAATGATAACCTTGATGTTTCTTTACAAAGAGACACAGGATTTCCCTCAATTTAAAAATTCTTTATCTGATACCTATTGTACTAAGGATAAATTATGAAAATTTTGAAAATCATGGAAAATCATTTGTGTCAGTCTGGTATAGACCTGAACATGATCGGCACTATTAAGAGGCAAATGGAAATGGAAGCTTTTTGTAAAATACTTGGCTTGGTGATTATTATTTGAACATAATAGCTAACATAGAATACGTTATTTTTAAAATCTTTCTTAATCGGCAGGCTGTTACAGGCGGTTATAGTCCCTTCTCTCTCTACTGAAACGGTCCATGGTTCAAAAATAATCACCAGTATCTCATTTCAACTGATTTTATGCTAGGTGACTGGATGCATCTGCTCCCCTGAAGTTTTTAAATGTACTGAGACTTGTATGTTTGACTTTTCTTGAATGAAGCAAAATTTATTAAATGGAGTTACTCATTATTTGTGTTGACAGTTTAACAGGAAGAGCTTCATGCCCATTTGAGTATTAAAGCTGTCCTGTGACCGAATACGGATATTTAGAAAAAGACCTCCAGACCTGATGTCGACCACAATAACTCCTCCCATTTTTTCAACTCTTCTAACGTGCAGTCAAACAGAACCTGTTGTGGGCTTGAAGTCATCGTCCTCTTTAAAGCTGTCTCTCATTTTATCAGCCATGCTGTTTTTGTAAGTGCTGACAGTCATCTCTGCAGATGTTTTCTCTTGTTCTCTGGCTCTCTCTTGAGCATGCTGCAGACTGAGGAACAGACGACAAAGATCAAAGTGACAGATGGAAAGACAAAAGACACAGAGGCTTGTTCAAGATACAAAACATGTCCCTGTTCTATACTACAGTATACTCAGACAAATTATCCCTTACTGACATATTTTATTTGGTTTGTGCTCACCGTACAACTGTGTAAGAGCTGGAGATTTTGAAGCGGACCTGCTCAATGACTCGTTTCACTATGTCATCGTTGGGCTGAATGGACGGATGAACGACCATCTCAACCTGCATACAGAAAACACCAGACAGAGACAGGGGGTAAGTGGTAAAAGCGGGTGTCAACAATTAAAGGTCAGCATCCCTTTTCTAGTGTTCTAGTTTGAAAATTTGTTGTAAGTGTGCAATTTCATTTAGTAATCCACTGTATGTGCTGCATTTTCTAATGTTTGTCATGTTAGTAAATGAGTAAGTAAACCAAAAGTCACTCTCTTGCATGTGCTGCTCCTAGAGGTCCAGTCTGGACAATGTTGGCCAAGCATCAATGACTGAATGAATGTTCTGGGTGTATACGTGTATGTATGTAGATTTTGTATATAAATAACTGTATATAGCTTATTGTTTTTATTTTATTTATTTTAAATGTTACCATATTTTAAAACACATGTAATTATCACTTAAGTTCTGTGTGTTTCGTTACACAACCTTGTGTTGTATAATGACAAATAAACAACCTTGAAACCCTTTCACCTTGTATAATCAGTGTTATTTCCTTCACCTGTCAGGGGTCATAATCTTATGGCTGATCAGTGTTTAACCATGAAGGGGTGATGCATGCACTTACGTTCCTTGTGATCCCATCCTGTATAACAGTGGTCTTGTAAAACTTAAGCAAGCCTTCTTTAGACAGACTGGCAACGAGACGTAATATGGTCTTCTTGCAACACTTTGTGCTGACTCCATCCTGCTTCTCATCGTCATTGATTATCTTCTGTAGCCTGGACAAAGACAGCATGTTGACATTTTTTGTTCCCTTTTTTCCTGTGCGACAAATTGCTAAAATTAACTGATAACATGTAAAACAAACTGACTGGAAAAGACCCTCTATGATTTTGGAGTTGTGCACAGCCTCAATGATCAGGTTCTTCCTCCTCAACAGGCGGTACGTCTCATGAGACCTTTCAGCAGATTTTTTATGTCTGGAGGCCTGAAGGAGGTGGAGTGAGTGAACTGTTACCTTCAACATTCAGCTCAAAACAGAGAAGAAAAAAACCCACTGAAACCAACCCGTCAGACGGACCTGCCCAGAGACAACCACAATGTTGTTGTCTGCCTGGTTATCAGCTGCATTCAAGGCCCCAACCTGAGGCAACGGGATGGTAGGGCTTGAGCTGTATTCTTTATCCTCCTCAATGTGAGCTTGTTCTGACAGAAAAGACAGTCTGAATTAAATATAATTGAACAAAACAAATAAAGACACACGTATAATATATACAGTCGGTAAGGCAAATTCCTTTGTTTTTGTTGTTGACTGAAGACATTTGGGTTTAAGATCAAAAGATGAGACAAGAGTTCAGAATTACAGCTCTCATTTCCTGGTATTCATATCTAGATGTGTTAAACAACTCAGGACATACCACCCTTTGTATTAGACCACAGCATTTTTAGGTGAGCAAAAGTAATGGAAGAAATAAGTAAATAACATTTAATATTTGGTGGCATAACTCTTGCTTGCAATAACTGCCTCAAGCCTGCGACCCATCGACATCACCAAACTGTTGCCTTCTTCATTTGTGATGCTATTCCAGGCTTTTACCGCAGCTTCTTTCAGTTCTTGTTTGTTTCAGGGTGTTTCTCCCTTCAGTTTCCTCTTAAGGAGGTGAAATGCAGCTCTGTTGGGTTCAGGTCAGGTCATTGACTTGGCCAGTCTGAAACCTTCCACTTTTTCCCCTGATGAAGTCCTTTGTTTTGTTGGCAGTTTGCTTTGGCTCATTGTCCTGCTGCATGATAAACTTCCTCCGCATTAGTTTCAATGCATTTCTCCATAACTTGGCAGACAAAGTGTTTGTCCACTTCTGAATTCATTCTGCTGCTACCATCATCAGTTACATCCTCAATAAATATTAATGTTCCAGAAGCAGCCGTGCACGCCCAAGCCATGACATCACCTCCACCAGGCTTCACAGATGAGCTTGTATGCTTCAGATCATAAGCAGTTCCTTTCTTTCTCCACACTTTGGCCTTTCCATCACTTTGCTAGAGATTAATCTTGGTCTCATCAGTCCATAAGATTGTGTTCAATTGTGTTTTGTGGCTCGTCTCTGTACTTCTTTGCAAAATTTCACTCTGGCCTTCCGATTCTTCCTGCTGATGAGTGGTTTGCATCTTGTGGTGCGGCCTCTATATTTCTGCTCTGACTCTTCTTCCAACAGTGGATTGTGATACCTTCACGGCCTGCACTGTGGAGGTCGTTGCTGATGTCACTCACTGATGTTTCGGGGGTTTTCTTCACAGCTCTCACGATATTTCTGTCATCAACTACTGTTGTTTTCCTTGGCCGACCTGTTGGACGTCTGTTGCTCAGTACACCAGTAGTTTCTTTCTTTTTCAGGACGTTACAAATTGTTGTGCTTGCTATGTCCAATGTTTGTCCTTCGTTCTTTTCTCAGCTTGACAATGGCTTGCTTTTCTCCCATAGACAGCTCTCTGGTCTTCATGTTGGTTTATCCTCCTTAACAGGAAATGCAGTCTTTATAGGTTTGAACTAGTTAGACTAGTCATGCAGAGCTATTTAATGTTTGGACTATCAACCTAAAAGGCAACACCTGGGCAACAAGAAACATCTGTCAGTCACATGTTCCAATAGTTTTGCAAAAATGGGTGGGTTCAAACAAAGGGTGGTATTTCCTGAGTTGTGAATACCAGGAAATGAGAGCTGAAATTCTGAACTCTTGTCTCATACTCATCTTTTGATCTTAAACCCAAATGTCTTCAGGGAACAACAAAAACAAAGGAATTTGCCTTACCGTTCCAACACGTTTGGAGGGGACTGTATCTGTCATGGAAAAAGACTTGAATTCTCAAGAAATCACAATATCAAACACTGTTACAAATGTTTGTATTTCACAGGTAAAAATCCCACATAACATTTTTGTCGGCTATAAATGAGGTCTGGCAACACTTTGATATGTTACTTTTTAAAGAGACATATCTAAATATATTTTCCATCTGCTCACTGGATACAGCCCAATCATATCCATCAGATCTTCAAGCATGTGTTTCCTAAATGTACCTAGAATTACTTGAGACCTGAGAACTGCTGAAACTGTACAGAACAGAATCAGTTCCAGCAGTACTGTCAGTACTGTGGACAGCAAGGCTGAATGAATAATGAATACTTCTCCTTCAAAGTTTGACTGTAGCCAAAGTAGAGTTGTTTAGGTCTGTTTCTGCAAATTACCTGCTCTGGGATTGGACACCGAGTCCGGTGTCCTACTAGTCGTGAATTTTCTGCAGGCTTGGGTTTCACCTGAGTGATGACAGAAATTAGAGAAGAGACAACATAAAGAGCTTTAACCACCTATAAAACCAAGACTGATTACTGATACTTTTTAAGTAATATCTGTTGTAAAATGTGCGAAGGTTTAATGCTTACTCACATTCAGCTGGTGTGGGTTGTACGATGGGGAACTCAGGTTGTGTCCGTTTAGTTTTCACACTGCTTTTCTTCCCTGGCGTCTTTCTTTTTGCTCCCGACTTTCCTCTTGCTTTACCGCCCTCTCCATCAAAGCCTCTATCTGCTGTATCCACCTCTCTGTCACCACACACCTGCCCAGCCTCCTCTGCATCTTCGTTTCCTCCTCCACCTGCTTTCTGAATCTCCTTTGCTGCAGGAGTTCTGGTGTTTTCTTTTGCCGTCGACTTTGAGGCTGATGGTGTAGTATCCGATGTCTCTGGTGCAGAAGAGTACAAGAGCTTTTGCCGTTCCTGCTCCTTAGCAAACAATTGGAGTCGATCACTCTCACCCACACACCTGTCAAGAGAAGTAAGCAGAACAGTATTTGGTACAATAGTACCTGATATGATGTAATTTATAAATCTACACTCGATTATAGATACACACTTATGGCTGATAAATTTCGTAGTCCTCTGCCGACCCTCATCTTCCATGAATCCCTGCAGGGTGAAAGACATCGCACACAGTGAGTGACCAGGAAAATGGAAACACCATTACAATATAATACAATATGTGATAAAATAGCCCTGAATTACATGCTTTCTTACTTAAAATGCTCACTTTTGTATGAATTTCTACCTTAAAAATCCGAGCATTAGTACCGGATCAGACAGAACGTGTTGCAGTGAGAGAAAGTAAGCCTTAAACCGACCATCATTAAGATGAAGCTAATGGACCAGCTGGTGTTACTACCAGCTCCTCCTCCTCCTTTCTGAGGGTCTCATGTACCCACATGAATCTTTGTTTCTCCATCTCCTGCATGTTTGTACACCTCTCACCCTCAAACAATGCCAGAGCAAGCGCACTACGTTTGTCTGTTTTTTTTAAAGCAGATGTTTTTAGCAACAAAAGACACAGACGTGCGAGTTGTGATCAAGTTTCTGCTAATATGACAGTTATTACCAAACATTACAGATCGCTGATCTGTAATAATATAATAATCTTTGATTAGACTGACAGGACAGCTCATTCATCACACTGCTCTTTTCCAAATTCAACCAAAAAAAGGCAGTGCTGTGTGCCTCGTGTTTTCGAACCTTCGAAAGTGCTTTCTGTCTGATCGGGGTCTTGGGGAACTTCTGTATAGCAGTGAATGCACTAAAAGAAAAAGCTTGTAAAGCTCTCTATGTAATTAAACAAAAATTATGTAAGTATCCCATTTAAAATCTGGTGTCAAATATTACATAGTATTATTTAGCCGAGTCATCAGAATTACAACAGATGGGCGAAGCATGCCATTGACACCATACATGCAGAAACATGCTATACAATCAAAGAAACTCTCCTACAGGGCAGTTTCCACTGATAATAGAGACTCAAAAAAGAGCACTAAACTTTCTGATGCATCTCAGATCACATCCCTAAGACACCCTCATATTCAAGGCTCTTAAAACCCAAGAGCTGAACCCTGAAAAGAGTCCCTTATGCCAGCTAGTCCTGACACTAACGAAACATGTCACACAGACCTTTCTCAGCACTGCTTTATAAACACAAATTAGAGTAAACCAAATTATCACTCAAAGCAAAACTGCTTATTTGGAACACTGGGAGGAAGAGAAAGAAAACAAACACAAACTAAATTGTTATCTGGCCCTAAATGGAAATTATGAAATGGCTGGATATCTCTCTACTGTCAGAGACATCAAGTAAAAGCAGCTTCTTACAAAGTACAGACTCAGTGACCCTTGCAATTGAAAAAGAGAGACATAAAAAGTCCTGGTTACCAAAAAAATACAGAGTCTGTGAGCTCTGTACGACATAGGAGGTGGAGACGGAGACACATTTTCTCCTGAAATGTGTTAAATATAGAAGCATAAGAGAGCAATATGTTGTATGGAATTCCATCTATTAATACCAGATTTCAAAGAACTTTAAAATAACAATAAATTATCAATAATCCTAGGAGAAGGACATACGACAAACCTTGCTGCAAAGTATGCATCCCTGTGTCACAACCTGAGGGACAGCGAGTGACTCAGCGAACTGGTGCACTCAGTTTTTGCTGCATGGCAGGTTAAATCTTGTTAATTATTTTTTTGTAGCTTGCATTCTATCTGTATTTTTTTTGTGTTGTCGTAACTTACAAAACTGAGTAATCATGATTGCATTAATTATTGTTTTGTTTTATTCAAAATGTAAACATTAACTTGTTTAACCTAAACACTCATGCCAATAAAGCATATTAAATTGAATATGTAACAAGTGAGGCTGCTGTGTTGTTGTACTGGACCACATTATAATAAAACGGTGTTTCCTATATTTGTCTAAATACTATCAACACCTCTATGTCACAGTATAAACAAGATTAAGCCACGTTAGCAGCTTTGTAAAGCTATACAGCAATGCTTTGAGCTAAATGCCAATTTCAGCATGCTAACATGCCCACAGCGACAATGCTAGTGCTGATGTTTAGCAAGCATTATGTTTACCATGTTTACTATCAATCCATGCTAGCGTGCTAAAATTTGCCAAGTAGCACTTCAGGCAAAGTACAGCAGAGTATGAGGGGAATCTCATAGTTTCACAGGTTTTTGCTCAAAGTCACCAAAGTCATTAGGATTCACCCTCAAGAATGTCAAAATGTAAAACATGTCATGGCAATCCATCCAATATTTGTTGAGATAGACTGGACCAAAGTAGTGGAAAAACTGACTGACTTCAAAATGTAAACTGAAGGTAGTATGCATTAAAAGAAAACTACTGGCCACTCCAAGTAAGCGTATTAGCATTGGCAGCCTTATCAAAGAATAAAAGTTTCTGTTGCATGTTTATCACCTATAAACAGACAGCAAGAAACCCATCCGACACCAAACAAACTGATTTTTATCAAATTGTCATCAGAGCTAGTGCACATAACAGCATTTCAAAGAGGAAGTGTTCTCTTTGTGGTGGTTGGTCTCTGGTGGAGTGGAAAACACCAGCATATCCGACAATTGAGTGAGTGCTTCCTTTTAAATATTGTCCTTTAATATCACACAGGTCAAATTAGGGTCATTTGCACAGACAAGTAAGCTAAGGCATGTGACTCTCCAAAGCAGTACGTTAAACTCTGTCTCTACTCTTTGTCTGTTTGGCAAATGGATGCAGCTGCCTTGATAAGGATGGACTCTTTGTTCTCCTGGGCAAAGCAAGATTAGCTTTATTTTGTTTCATACAGACCGACCAACCTGAAGTGGCACACAATGTAATTCAGGCTAAGTTAGGTAAGCATAGCGTTTTGTTTTAAACAACTTCATACATGTATAAATGGGTGAATAATAATCTTATTTGGACAAGTTGTAAATCTCATTAGGTCTAGTAAGGATAAACATCCCACGTCAGGAAGAAGCCTTCAGATTAGGTTTTGGCACTACTCTGTGTCCTCACTTTGTACTGTAGTTGACATTCGAGCTTCAATAAATACTTCTGCTTAATCCTGAGTTTTCTGAAAATTTACTTATCACTGGCGCTGACCAGCTCACAAGAACTTCCTTCACACTCCTGACATATTTGCATTCACAAACAAACTGCCCATTAAGCAATAATAATAATAATAATAATACATTTTATTTATAGGCACCTTTATGAACACTCAAGGTCACCTCTCAGAACATAATATAACAGTACAGTAATAAATTCATAAAATTAACAAATAATATTACAGTGCATAAAATCAGGGTATATAACAACTGGAAACAAAGATTGCTGTGGCCTGATAGATAGTGATCACGTGGGATATGCCAGTTTAAAATGTAAATGTGTTTTCAGATGGGATTTAAAAATGGAAAGTGAGTGAATGTAGCCGATGTCTGGTGGAAGAGAGTTACAGAGACGAGGGGAAGAGTGGCTGAAGGCTCTGAACCCCATGGTGGTCAAACGAGCAGGAGGCACAGTGAGGTGAATCGAAGAGGAAGACCTAAGAGTACGGGTGGGTGTGTTAATATAAAGGACATCAGTGAGGTACAGAGGAACGAGGTTGTGACCTTGAATGTCAGGAGCATAATCTTGAAATTAATGCGGTATTTAACTGGGAGCCAATGAAGCTGCTGAAGGACAGGAGTAATATGATTATGATGATTCTGGTGATGATACAGGCAGCAGAGTTCAGAACCAGTTGAAGTTTATGTATGGTTTGAGAGGAAGACCAACGAGAGTATTACAATAATCAATGTGGAATGTGACCAGTGTGTGAATGAGAACGGCTGTACTAGTGGGTGAGAGAGACGGTCGGAGGCGATTAATGTTACGTAAATGGAAGTATGTAGACCGAGTGATATTATTAATGTGAGCTTGAAATGAAAGTGTGCTGTCGAGGAACACACCCAGACTCTTGACCTGGGGGGAGGGGAAAACTGGAGTTGTCAGTGGTTAGAGATAAACTGTCAGATGTAGTCAAAGTGGATTTGGTGCCAATTTCATTTTGTCACTGTTAAGTTTGAGGAAGTTGCAAGAGAACCAGGATTTGATTTCCGTTGGTGGGTGGGAGAGATGTGGTAGGTTTGGTGGACAGGTAGAGCTGGGTGTCATCCGCATAGCAGTGAAAATGGATGTTAAATTTACGGAAGATATGGTCAAGAGGAAGCGGATAGATGATGAACAGAAGGGGCTACAGGACAGAGCCCTGAGGAACGCCGGTAGTGACAGGTGATAGCTCTGATTTGAAATGTCTGAGTTGGATGAACACTGACTTAGGAACTGTTAATCTGTAATGGCCTTATTCCTCAATCAGTTCCTAACCCTTATTAACGTGGTTACCAAGAAGTTAAAATAGGATCTGCAGGTTAGGAAGTTTCTGTAATACAGCCCCAGATCTCTTATGTCCCTTCATGCTCCCTGAGATCCTCGGATGCGTCGTGCCTCTGCTCTTAGACTTTGAAATGACCTGCCTGAGGAGATCTGTGCTGCAAAATCTAAATCACTTTAATTGCTTTTCCGTGTTTTCATTTATGTTTTGTTTTATGACATCTTAGTCTCTTTGTATTTATAATGTGTATAATTTTTATGCCTTTTAGCTTGTATTAGTCTTTGTATTTTAAATGTGTAATGTTTTTATTATGTTTTGTTCTTTATTGTTTTTGTTATTAACATGATTATTAAAAGCCTAGGTCTTACCTTAATCAAACCATCCCTCTCCAGTCTTCGGCAGATCATACGGGATTCCAGCTTACCGACGTTCATCCTAACCCCAATACCACTCTGGGGGATTCCTTTTGTACCACAGGATAATACTGCAGTACAACAAAAAGACACAGGCAAGATTTAATAATAGAATACTTTGGAGGTGAGAGAAGTTATTTCATTCATTTCAGACGTGTGCCTGTTGTCCGACCTAATAAACTCAGAGCCAAAACAAAAGAAAATTTGTCCAAATACATCTGGACTGCGGTGGAGAGCCCAAAACTAACTTTCTTATCTATAAAACACAACAAAATAAATACATTTTATTCATCCTGACACACAGTATCCCTGAAATGTGTTTCATAAACAAAGAAAATGATCAAATCTACCAATGTGATAGGCCTGTGACAGGAAATCTTTCTCCATGATTCGCCCCTCTAAAGGGAGAGCTCTTCTTCCAGTGTCAACTTCTTCGTCCTCGCCCTCATCATCGTCATCTTCAGTTACGCTTTTCCCTGTATACGGCTTTAACAGTCTCGCACATCGGACAAGCACTTTCTTCCCTGTTCAACAAAGTGAAACGACGCAGTCAATAGGCATGTGGCAAATGCAAGGCTAAACATAATCACACAAATCACAATTAAATTATACATCATTTAAATGTATTTTTGTAGTGACTTTAGAAAAATAAAAGATAGTCTTGACTCAAGGTCCACTTACTGGCTTTTTCAGAAGCCTTTAACTGCATCTGTGTCAAGCTACTATTTTCATGTCAAAGAATGTTTTTTTTTTTTATTTAAACCATCACTCATTTAATAGAAAGTATTCTTTTAGTAACCTATGAAAACATACTTTTTGTCGTACTGCAGTGTTTAATTAGTGTGATTAGCAAGTCAGTAAAAAGATACCATTGTGCAGAGCAGCTGCCATGTTTTGTGCAGCAAAGTAGACCTGAATCTATTTGTTGATTAATCGATGAGTCAATATGACAGATAAGTGATCGGCAACAATTTGGATAACTGATTAATCAATTAAATAAAAACACCAAAAAATTCACAGGTTTCAGCTTTGCAAGTGTGAAGACTTGCTGCTTACATGATAGTTAGTAAGTTGAGTTAGAATAAATAACGCTGGACAAAACAAACAATTTTAATATATCAACTTGGGCTCTGGGAACTTGTGAAGGGCAATGAAATGAAATGGACTAGGGCTGCTCGATTTTGGCAAAAATCATAATCACACTTTGGTCAATACTGAGATCAAGATTATTTCACATGGTTACTCACTGACTTTGGAAACATCAAGCATTTATTGTACTTAAATTAGTTTTTTTAAACAGTGGATTTCAATGATCTTTAATTATAATTCAACTGAAAAACAACAATCAAAATCCAGGTGGCAGCTAGCTTGACCAGGTTTTTTGCCAAGAACGGCTCACTTAACCACTTTTAGCTGAACTAAACATGCCAGAGCCTGGCTGAAAGTGAGATTTTTGTTAGGTAGGCACAAAGGCACAATGCTGTAAAGTAAAGAGGTGAGCTGGATTTAAGTTAAGGTAATCTTTATTGATCCCCATGTGAAAGTTTGTTCTCTGCATTTAAGATTTATAACAAAAAGACAAAAATGAGACCGTCATTTCAAAACAAAATGCAGCACAATAGTCACTTTATCTTGATTATCTTATTTTCATAGTCATGGTAGCCAAATTGTAATTGAAAATAAAATTCGATTAAATCACCCAGCCCTAAGACGTACAATTTACTATATGACTATTTTATGGACTAAAGGATTAATTAATTCTAACATAAATATTAAGAAACCAATGTTTCAATATACTGTAGATTTAAAATGTTTATTCAGTATTATTGATCAATTTGAGATTAATACGTCAAAATATTATAAGCAGTAACACAGTAAACGGAACACAAAGATTTTCAAAATGGGCTGTCAAATAAGAAACTGCTTACCATAACCATCACTAAAATAGATAATAAAACCAAAAAATACTGTAAATGTATTGCTGTATGTGCTGACATGCTCTGTTGTTCTGCTTATGAACGGCACATTACCTCGCTTGGTGGTGCAAGGCCCCGCGCTCGGATCTAAGTCCTCCAGAGGGAACTGGCAATACTCAACCAACTTGGCAGCTCGCATGTATTGAAATATACGCTTAAAGGTACATTCGTCCACCTTCTGCAAGAAAACACAGCTATTGTCACATATAAAAAGATGAACATGCACAGACCAACAGACACTCAGAGAGATACTCACAAGCTGCTCTTTGAGTGTGATCAAAGTGGCAAACTGATCAGGTGACTGCTGGAGAAGATTGGACACGTACTCCATCAGAATGTCATACTTACTCCTCCTGAAAGAGCAGAAGTGGTTGAGAGGGGGACAAAAATAGATAGAAAAACACAGGAAGTTACAGTTAAATCCCAATACTAAATTTGTAAAAGCAAAAACAGGCTCTGTTCCTCCTAAACATCATGATAAGACTAGTTATCCACTTTATCCAAGAGAAGTCCTCCCTTTCATCCAGTTCTGCAATGTATGGCTTTGTGTCTCTATTGCTGCAGATGTCATCAAAAGCGGTCTTGGCCGGGGCTGCGAATTGTTTGAAATGTTTCCATGCTAGTGCTTGAATTTCACTACCAATACAGACTTTTTTGAAGCCATATTGTCATAAATATAAAGACATTTCTCTAAAAAAAAAAACAACAACAACTTTGTTTTATTTAACAAAAGCAGTCAAAGTTCTTAAATGTTAAATGCTGAAGCAGCCAAACAGGAATTAACAAAACAATCTACAAGTGGCAACGTTTTTACTTAAATCAGGAAGTATCTGATCACTTCAGTCAGTGCAGAGCCACGCTGCTGGCTGTGTGAGGCTATACTTGCATGCTAACGTCAGCACTCCCTGGAAAACATTTCATTGCAATGCATCTAATAACTGTTGAGATAACTGTTGAGATAACTGTTGAGATTTCAGTCTCAACCAAAGTGGTGGACGGACCATCAGACCAACATCGTGCACAGAGCTATGCTATTAGGCTAAAAAGTATGGAGGTTTGATGCCCAGCCAGAGACTTCACTTAACACAAATCACAATTGGTTTGAGATTGCAATTGGAGCATAGTGGTGCAACAGTGTTGAGAAAAACACACAGATCATAAACCGACCTGTTAACATAGAAGCGTTTGAGTAGCAGGAGAATGGAGTGCTGCTGTTGTCCTGACATCACTCGTGCGATATGAGACTGCATGCTGACAAGTCCATGTCTGACAAGAGACTTCCTCATGTAGTGCAGCTTTCGAGCATCGATCCTGTTGATACACATCACTTGCTGTTACAAAGTGGATATCTAACCTGCAGCTTGTAACACAGAGTATACATACAGCAGCAACAACGGGGGTGTGAACATGTCTCCTACTTGAAAGAGCATCCGTGCATATCACTTTGTAGCTCTCCTTGCCATCGTGCTCGGCCCACTCGTTCCAACACACAGTAAGAGTCGTCAGTGAGTTTCAAATCAGGATCGCTCTCACTACCAATCAGGGTCCTGAATCGCAGTGATTGAGACGCAACGACAACGAGCTTTCGGCCATATCTGAGGAGGTGCAGGTTACAGAGAAGGAGGATAGTGTGAAACAGACAAAAAAAACTCTGTTTAGGTTTTTCTAACATGCAACTCACTGAATAACCTTTTTGGTCTAAGCTTAGATATTTGTAGGTCTTAGTTTGAAGTGAAAAAGTATCATCCAAACGCATTTCTAATGTCAGAATGTCACGCTAAGAGAGACAAGGGTATAAAGCATAAAGAGTAAAAAGCTTAATGCCTAAATCACTGGATTAATATACACTATTAATTTGTGCGTATTTGAGCAGTGTAGTAAAGATTGCTCATTTAGTAGGCAGTGTCTGGTTCATGCTGCTGAATCAATGTAAATAATATAAAACAAACTCTACAAACCGTTCCAAAGCCTCCTGCAAGTTGACTAATGGGGTGAGGGACTTGGAGCGGATGTGCTCAGTGACGTGTCTCCTCTCCTTGTAGAGTGCACACGAGCCCTGTATCCCATCCTTGTTGTCTAGAATAATATGGACCGGGTAGATGTCTTTCCGTGTTTCATTAAATCTCAGTGTTGTTTCAATTCCTGTTTCTGGGTCGATGTCTTTAAACCTGAAAACACACACGCAAACACAAAATCTAAGTCAGGGAGTCCAAACTCTAATACAAAGACGCACATGGAGCATATGAAATATCCTACAAAGTATAATGTTTTAATGTTAATACAGAATCCCTTAATGGGAACTCTATGGAGAAAGATACTCTCTAGTTTCAATATAAATCACAAATCCATAATGTTCCCTGTTCCAACACTGCAAGTGTGCAAACTGAACTGTCTATGAAAAATGGTACTAAAAACAAAACAGGGGAAGGCTTCACACAAGACCTTGGAAGGGATTTTCCCATTTAGCCACAAAAGCATTAGTGAGCACACTCAGGTGCCTCAGTTACTGACATGTGCCTGTGATGGTTTTGTTCAAGCCAAATCAAATGAGGGTGGACAAAACATTAGAAACACCTCCATGTATAACGCAAAACTATTCAAGAGCACCAGAAACTGCAGAGGTGGTGAGGAAAGAATTCAGACAATTGCATGAAATGACCATCAAATTAAATCAACACATCTCTGAAGCAGATTTAACAAAAACCTAACATTATAACCTTTATTATGCTGTATTAATGTTAACTTTAAAACACCGAGATCATTTTACATGTGTTTCATCACGCCTGGATTACTGCAACAGTCTTTTCACTTACTTAACCCAAAAATCTATTGATCGACTCCGAACTGTCCAAAACTCAGCTGCCAGGCTTTTGACCCGAACAAAGAAATATGATCACGTCAACCCTGTTTTCGCTTCATTACACTGGCTCCCAGTACGTTTTATACTTTTAATAAAAATACAGTTTAAAAATAAATAAAGCTTTAAATACCTTCTTAAAACACACTTTTATAGGAGAGCCTTTCCTGATTTTAGTTGATTGTATTTATTTATTTTACTTTGTACTGTATTTTATTTTTTTAAGTTTCTTCCTGTGTTTACCTTCTGTCTTATCCGTTTTCTGTTTTGTATTGTCTTTGCTCTTGTGGAAGCCCTTTGCAACATGGTTTTGAAAAATGCTCCATAAACAAAGATTGTTATGATTATTATTTTTATCATTATTATTGTTAGCCTGCACTAGTTTTAGCTAGTTGGACCTCTTAAACTGGCAACTGAGTGTGTTTCTCTGGGAGAAAATAGACCCACAACAAATGTGTGTACAGTGTGGAATATCTTTCATAACTAGGACTCTGATGACAAGCAGAATGATCTGCTCACCTGTCAAACAGCTCAACGTCGTCTCTCTCCTGTGGGAGTTGATAGAATCGCAGGTCGTTGTTGTTGATAAGTGACTTCCAGATGAGCTCCTTGGTGCAGTCATCGAGCTTCAGGGGAAACTTGGGCTGTCTACTCTCTAGTCGTATCCACAGGGTGGGAATCGTTATCCCGTCCAGTCCCTCCAAAGCCACTTCATCCGCAACTATACTTAACGGATCCATGTCATGCCACCGACTGGGCTAACGATGTCAGCCAGCTAACATGCTAGCTTAACAACAGCTATCTAGCAGCTTGTGTGGTCGCTCTGGGCTCAGACGTTTACCGGGTATTATAGAAAGATGCTTTAATATACGGTTTTGTCGGGCAGAATATATGCAGTACTAAATAAATACCAACTTGTTTATAAAATACTTCCTCTAACCATGTTTCCAACGTGTTTCCGAATAGCAGTGTGTATCTGTATACGCGATTGCGTCATTTTTCAACTTTGACCTCACGTTGTACGCGCAAAATCCACAAGGTGGCGTTCATGTCAGTACAGTTTCTGGAATTAATTTCATGGATGAATTGTCCGTGTTGTTTTAAACCTTTATACCGTCTATTTCTGAACAGGCACATAATCATTTTAGCCACACGTATTTTGATTAAAAAAATATTGACTTAACACGTAAATTAATGCCTTCAATGTGTATATTACTCAGCACCTACCAGAATCTTCTCCAGTGTTTTTAAGTTAATTCCAGCAACCTTACACAATAAGTGGTCTAATAAGACTGTCTTATACTTCAGCACCTATTATTTTTAGACAAAGGAACACTAATCAAATTACTCACTAAAGAACTTTCATGTGTATGTAACAAAGCTGAGGGGGGAAAAGTATTTTCTAGGCCTTGTTCAAATACAGGCAAATAAGTTTTAATGCTTTGTAGGTAAAAATGTTTTGACTTAAGACATTCAGATTCCACCCATAAGTAAGCAGTCTGATAAGATGAAGATTAATGAAGTTATGAGCAAACGTCCTGCAAAATATACTGAATGTATTAAAAAGTAAAAGTACTCATTACTTAATGATCACTACGAAGCGCCAATAATCAAATGATTAAGCTTAAAATGTAGCATTTTGTCAGTTTTAACTTAAATATTACTTTTAAGTTGTTGTCATGTTTGTTGTAGGAACCATCCATCTGCAAAGTATACTATGTAGTAGAAGACAAAGTGCAATATTCAACACGTCTCTGAATTGTAGTGAAGTAAAGTAGAACATAGCAGAAAATAGAAGTACTACACAAGAACCTCCAAACAGTACCTGAGTAAATGTACTCCACAGATCTGGACCATGTAAGTAATTTATAGATTTTTGGAAAATATACTTCTCCCTTAAACAACACAATGAAGAAATAGCATGTTTTACGTCACAGTAGGAAGAGCACAGGTGTAAATAAAAATATTAATGGTGGCTGAATTCCGTTTAACTTCAGGGTCCAGGTGCATGCTGCATGCTGCATACATGTCACGGCTTACTGGGACACTCATAAAGACATTGTTAATGTTATCGCTAACAGCTGTGCATTTCCTACAATGATGAGTAAAAATAAAAGGCCTATGTTGTTTAAAGAGCAAGGAGGCTTATGAAAGGGTTGAAAAGCATGTGCAGTATTACGTTAGGGTAAAAAAATTAATTGAACACATGCAATGTGTTTATTCAACATCTTTATTATGAAGTACCTTTTTAAAAGAAATGTACAAGTGGAACCAGCACAGTGACATCTTGGCGTTTACCTTTGAAAAACAGAAACACCATGGACATGTAATGCAGGTCTGAAGACATATGAAATGAAAATGTACATATTTACAGCAGAGGATCTATCAGAACAGAAGTGAGCAAGCATGACTGCAGCTAGAAATACAACAGGACTGACTGAAAATAAAAACTTACATTAAAAGCATGGATTGGTTCAATAAAGATTTTTTGAAAGATAACATGGTAAAGGCACTGTGTTTCACACAAATTGACAACACAACAGACGCAGTTGTTTGTTTTGTTCATCGAATCATAATCACAAGAAACAACTTTTAACAAATGTTGTCATTCAACTGTCCCTGGGCTAACAAAACAGATAAAATATATCAGAGGGCTGTCGCAGTTTGCACATAAAGATTAAAACAAAATAGATAATTCAACTCATCAGGAAAACATTCCTAATAAAGAACATGCTTGGTGATTATTAAAATTACATTTTTTTTATAAACAAATACATATCTAAAATTTTTATTTCATATTGAAGGCATAATGGGTTGAAGTAAGGACAAATGTGTTTTATGATCGTATGTTTCCCCTCACTGGGCAGAATCCCAGGACACATTGTATTTGACATTCCTGCATGATATACGGTAGGACCTCTTTGTTTGAAGAACACATTCAATTAACTACCAGCATAGATAACACAACACACTCAATCAAGCCAACTGGTTGAGATCAATACTGAAGACAGCAACGATGACCAATGAGATTTCCTTTGAGGACGCGGTAGGTAAAATTAAAATAAAATAGGTCAAATTACATTCAGCTTACATAGCTGGTGTGTGATCAGTGCTCTGTCTGCACGGTGCTTTATATGATATGCTGCAGTACTGTACTGATGTGAGGAGTCTGAAGGAATACTTTGACTTTTTTTATGAAACACGCTCAATTCAGTTTCTTGCTAAGAGCTCGATTGATCCCTTGTCTGCGCGTTACACATGGAGCTGCAGGTAGTCGCAGGTTGGGTTAGCTTAGCATAAAGACTGGAAACAGAGGGAAACTGTTAGCCTGGTTCTGTCCAGAGGAAACTAAACCCACCTACCAGCATCTTTATGGCTCACTAGTTAACACATTATATCTAGTTTGCTTTAATGGAGAAATTTAAATTGATTAGACAACTGAAAAATAACTTTGTAATAGATTAAAATAATTTTCAAGTAGAAATGCCCAATGATCTCTAATTCCAGCTTCTAAATCATGTTTCAAAATGTTGGTTGGACAAAACAAGCAATTTTTATACATTGGCTTGGGCTGTGATGGGATGACATTTTATAGACCAATTAATCAATATTAACTGGCTGAGTAAACTGATAAAAACTCTTAAAATTTTTAAAAAATAAATAAAACAAAATCAGTCAGCAGTTGCAGCCCAAGTTTGTTTACTTTATATTAAAGCCAGCGTAATCGTTTCTCTGTTTTCCACCTTTATGCTAAGCTAAACTAATAAACTGCTGGCTGTAGCTTTATATTTGCTGTACAGAGATCAGAATGGTATCAATTTTCTTACTTAACTCGACAGGAAAGCAAATAAGCACATTTCCCAAAATGTCAAACTATTCTATTAAGGTAAGCTGCAGATTTTTAACTCATTGTTAAGCTAAAATTATTGAAGTTGAGGAATCTGCAAGAGGAAGAAGATTCCCTTCTGCTCAAGATGAAAAAGTACATTTGATACTCGTGGACTTTGACTGCACAGACACACGCATGTAGGCATACGGGACACACAATATGCTCTTTGGCTGAGTTCAGGCGCACATAACACAAGCGTTCAACACTCGCCACGCTTCAGAATAAGCATTCTACATAGTAATGGCACTGGCCAGGCAGGCAGGCACCTAGACTGAGTTCGGATTTACATACACAGGCTCTCAGTACAGCAGAAAAATATCATGTACATGAGGTGATAGTGTGCCCTGTTAAAAACAACAGATACTGTGGTCAACGATGGCACACCGTTAGTGTGCACTCTTGTTTATCATGAGAATTTGAGGGTGGAAAAAAGAAGAAGAAGTCCTATAATTAAAATCCATTGTGCAGGAAAGCAGAACTGAACACTCAAAAGTTAAACATTACTGAATTGAGGTGCAGGGGTGTATTTTATAAAGGAGAAAAACAAAAACAAAATGGCTGCCCTGAAATGACTAATGAACTAGCTTCAAAACATACACAATAATACAACATTAAGTTGAGATATAACGAAATTAGGCTGCATTAATAAGTAATAGTACCTGCCTTGTACATACATAATTCAAATAAAATGAAACAAGTAGCTAGGATACTTGTCTTATCAAAAATATGTAGCTTTGGTAAACAAGTTGTGTGGAGAACTGTTGTCTGGACATGTTGATGTGAGAGATCACTACATGACATCTAGGAATCAAGGGTGAGAAAGTTTCTGTTTTGAGGCTATGAAGTCAACAAGAGGAGAAGCAGGGCAAAGGTCCACTCCCCAAAATCATCTGTCCTCTCCCCTTGTCACCAGCTGATGAGGAACAGAGACAGCAAAAGGCAGCGAGACTCCCGAACGGAACATAACTGCTTTCTTTACTGTCCTGAGCACCGATTGAAGAGTTTCCGTGGTAATGTAGCAGCATCATAATGGTCTGCGGAGGACAGACTCCTCCAGAGCAGAAGTGGAAGACTACTTGATCCTCTCTCCTTCCGACAGTCCCCTCACCCTTTTCCATCCATCGCGGCGGAAGTGGAAGACTGATCAGACATCAGATTAAAAGCTCTCCTCGAATATCCACAGGGGAGACAAGACAGGTGAATTCATTTATGTTCCTTTCCTCCGCTGCTGTTTCATCCGGCTAAGCTTCTTCACTGTATGTGGGTTTGATCCAAGCAGGTGTCCAGATATTCAATCAAAATAACCACCTCCTTAATACTCGAGCTTCTACCATGCGGCGCAATCTCCCTTCTGTCACACATTGCTCCTTCCATCTTTCTACTTTCTTTCACTCATCTGTTTTCTCACAGCTGAATTTCTAATCCAACCTCAATGTTCTCTTCCCATCTCCTTTTGTTTCTCCAAATGATCTTTTTGCAATTCTGTGTCATCTTCCTGTTCCCACATTTCAGTCAACCTTCTCCACCTTCCCAATGATCTTCTCCTCGAAGATAGGCAAGATGGCGTCATCGTCGCGGACCTCCTCGAACACGACACCACAGTCAAACTCGTCACTCACTTTCTTAAAGTAGAACCTGCACACACACCAAAAAAATGGATATGCTCGATTATTACAGCGCCAAACAATGGTTTCTTGAAAATGTGATATCCTTTTTTTTGTTGTTCTCACCTGTAATGGCCCTTTTTGGTAAGGAGCTCCTTGAACTGACCCAAAGTCACCACCCGGCCTTTGACTGATGTTCGGTATGGGATTGGCTCTCCACAAAAGTAGTAAGCCACTGTCATGTTCTCACACACTTGGCGCTTACCAGACTTATGCCTTAAAAGAAAGCAAAAGCCATGTCAGAACACTCAATACATGCAAACACAGACACAAGTTAGAGCCCTCAGGGGCAAAGATGTGATTTTAGGCTACACTGATAAAACTGACTTGACACCTACCTCTGCTTGGCCTGCTGTAGTGCGTTCCTCCTCCTCTCCTCCTCCAGCCTCCTCCTAGCCTCCTCCAGCTGGGTGAGGGGATTGGGAGCCGGGTTTGGGGGC